AAAGCCATTGAAAAAGATGATGACCAGTCACTTTGTTAGCTTTTTTCAAATTTTTTTTATCATTTTCTTTCACGTTTTTCCTTTTCATTTTCTTGGTATTAAATAGTTTGTTTATAGTCCTGTTTTCTTTCTCCAATGCTTGTTTCAAGACGTTCAATTTTCCATTGGTTTTAACATTTATTTTTTGTTTTTATTTTTCTCAATTAGTTTTACTCCATTTATCTTTCTTACTAATTTTGGAGTTTTGTCTCATTCCTTTACTTAATTTTCATTTTTTGTTCTATAAATGCTCTTTTATTGAGTTTTTCATTTTATTTGTGGAATCTTCTGAACTATGCCTTTTTGTCATTTCTCAATACACACTAACGGAGTTAAACAACAGTCAATGACAAAGGGGTGATTGTAATTTGGCTAAATCATAAGGCTTGTTACGTAATATGGACAAACCTCTGGGGAGGTAGATGTAATAGGCAGCAAAACACAATAAATTAATTTTTTTCCCCCAAACTGGATGACACACAAAAATGCCAGTATTAGTATCACGTCGCATTATAAATATCACTTACTTTCCCTTATTTTAAAACTTTTGTAACATTGTTTATTAACCCAACTCAGAATATTAATACTGAAAAACTATTTTTGTTTGGAAGTGTATAGATAATTTTTGTTTCAAAATTGCCCTTTTGTTGTGTTAATGCTCATGGCAAATCAATTTAAAATCCTCAACATTTGAAAATTTACCTATTTACTTCCTTAGTGGAAAATTATAAGTTTTTATTGAGGTTAGGAGATTGTTTAACGAACTTTTATTTTATAATTTGGACAAGATAAATTAAAATTTTTGCAACTTATGAATAATTTACAAAACACGTAAAAATCATTCATTAATTTTTTTTGGGCACATCTTGAGAGCATTTTCATACATACTGTTTTAGTCAGGCGACTTTCTCGAAATAATGCGAAAAAGAGAAAATATCACAAAAGTGATGCTGAGCTCGCTTCTATATTAAAGGTTGCTGCAAATGTCAGACAAGGCTTCACAGAAAATTTGATTAAAATTTTTTTTTTAAAAGTCAGAACCAATTTTTTTTTTTTTTCATTTTCACAAAAAGTTTCGCCACAAATGGAGAATGAGGCCGAGAAAAAAAATATTTTTTTTTGGAAAAAATATTTTTTAAATTTTTTTTTTGGAGAAACCGCAAATTGCATTTGCGGCAAAGGAGAAGCCAAGACGTGGGGCACGGACGGTTGCAGGTGCAACCGTCCCTGCCAATTGTAGTCATTATCAACTGGCCGTAACTCTCTTTGTACATGGTGTAACTTTTTTCTCACAGGATGTATTTTCACAACAGATAGTGACGGGTCCCACACATGATGCGGAAATCGAGTTACGTCTTGTTATCTCCCTGCCCCATTTCCGAGAAGCCACCATTTGTGTCCATTTGTCTTATCAGCAGTTGTAGTTTTCCCATGCTCTGGTTGCATTCGACATGAAAATAATTATATAAATATTCATGTATTACTTCCCATGATGCTGTTCATGACATGTTAAATTTAAGCAGAAGCGTCTGAGTCCTCTGCTAGTTGGAATTATTACTTTTTTGCTGGAATTGATCATTTTGTACGAGATAAAGTGGTGGCATCTAGCCTTATAATAGAGGATTTTGCAGCTGATGTTCTTTCGTTACACCATAATTGCTGACCTCATACAGTTGCAAAACCTATGTAAAATGTATCTCGATCCCTGCGTAGTGTGCTCATCTTGGATTGATGGTAATATAAAAAAAAAAAAAAAAGGCTTTTGGGATATTACAATCCTTGAATTAAAGAATGCGGAGGATAGTTAGCTTATTCGACCGTCAAGATATTGGCCTATCTAACTCTTGTATTGTCCCTTTCGAGATGTCTGTTGAGTATTTAGCTAAGCAGATGCGGGATAGAAAACATGAAGGTAAGTGTCGCAGAGGGGCATATCCATACATGTTGTTCATGTACTCGACATATTTAATTTTCAATATGTCTTGCTGGCATTAAAACCAAAAAATTCAAAAATGGATGATTTGGGCATATTTAATCTTCAATTCATTTTATATTTTCAACCAAAAGGAAGCTGAAAGCATTTGTATAGGATGATTAATCACCATTTATGAAATTAACACAATTTTTGTAGTTAAATTAAAGGGATAATTTCACAAACCTCCCCTGAGGTATTTAATAATTACAGGGAGCTCTCCTCAAATTTTAAAAATTACATGTACCTCCCCGACTTTTACTGTTTATATAACAATATAGGTCCAACAAGGAAGATTTTCTCTTAAAAATCCTAAATTACCCTTTTGTACAAAACTAAGAAAGCAAAATATAATATGTTTAATCATTTTCTTCCATATTTTGCACAAATCAACAAGCCTAATTCCTAACAACCATCCAAGTATAAGTTTCAAATCCAAATAACCATAAAAAAGATTCTAAGTTGCATATATAACATCAACTTACTACGTAAAAAAAAAAACACTCATACACACACACACACACCTCCCATTATCTCAATGCTCAAATACATTTTCAATACAAGCTAATATGATCTAGAACCACCATTACAACCTTCTTATGGTCTTAAAAATATTAATATTGTAAAAGTAAAGAATAAATTCTACCTCGACAATAAAATCATAACAAAAATTTCCAATCCAATGAAAGAAATCCTTATGTAATTATTAATATTTTATAAAAGTTTTTTATGACAACAAACAAACTATGACAAATTTCACATCTCTAGTTCTTCTTCCTATTTCAATCATAAATTTCATTATTTATTTCTCTATCATTGCAAAAATAGACAAGACAGAAATTTTTTTTTTTTTGGATTTTGTAAATCTAGTGCCTTAAATTTAGAATTGTCTAGCAAGTGGAGGGTAGTATAGGCATTTTATTACGTCAAGGAAGTTAAGTGTAATTTCTTAAACTTAAGGGGAGCCGAGTGAAATTGTAAGAAACCTCAAGGGAGGTTTCTGAAATTATTCCTAAATTAAATTTGCAGCTTTTAGGGTTAGGATTTATGTATTAGGGTTTTATTGTGAGCGTTTAGGGATTATTGTTTTAGGGTTGGGGTTTGCAGGCAAAATTATCGCAATTCCATATTAAAAAAAAAAAGATTTGCCACCCATTTGAGGTGCGGCAAATCCTTTAAAAAAAATTATTTGATTCACCGCCCTTTTGAGGTATGGCAAAACCTTGTAAAGTATATTTTAAAAAAATCCAGTCCTTTTACTTCCTTGGCGACGAAAAAAATGAAATTGAAATCAATTTTTTTTGAAACCTACTTTTCCATTTGCAGCGAACCTTAAAATCAAAATCAATCATACTTTTGTGATATTTTCTTATTTTAAAATTATTCTAAGAAATTCGCCGGCATGAGCCGGATCAATAGCTTTTAGTCCAGGACACTCAAGAAGTGAAAGACCTGCCAGAAAACAAAAGTTTCCGAGACTAAATCACCAGAAAATGAACCATAAAAAAGAAAGAGAGATAGATCAGCTAATACTGCCAATAGGAGAAAATTGGTACTAACGCTTAGCTGTAAGATGTGGGCGCCAAGCCATTAGATGTGCGGTCATTAGCCAAACAGTAAGGTACGAACGGCCGCGATCTTTTGCCACACATTACATGTGCGGCTTCTGAAAATATTGTGGGACCATCATGGACCGTTTGCCTCAAAGTTTTTATTTTTATTTTTTTGGAAACGACAACGATTGTATAACCTAATTTATTCTATACTAAAGGGGAGGAGGCGAACCTAAGGAGGCCTAAGGATAATTCGGAGGGGACTGAATCACCACCGGATCAAACAGGTGTACAACACACCGGCCTGAATTTTTTTGAAGCAAACACTTAAATGTGACATTTTTGGTGGAATCTCACCAAGTTAGGTGGTGGCCACCCGCCCAAAGGCTAGAGGTGCCTCAAAGTTTTTAGAAACAAAACTTTTTACCTTCGCCGCAACCCCGTTTGGATTGCGATTTTTCTCAGAAAAATGTGTTCACGTTCTCAGAAAAATTGTTATGTTTTCCGTGAACACATTTTTCTATCACCTTTTTAACTTACATCTATCAAATCACTATAACAATTTTTCTATAAAAAATCCAGAAAAACGCAATCCAACCTGAAATTTTTTTTAAATTTTCATCCTCCGCTGCAAATTACTTTTGCAGCAAATCAACAAAATAAATTGGTTCCAACTTAAAACAAAAAATAAAGAAATTTAAATCAAATTTTTTATTAAACCTCATATGATATTTGCAGCAACCCTTGACCTGAAAGCCAACCTTCAACAGCATCACTTTTGTGATGTTTTCTTGTTTTCGCATTATTCTGAGAAATTACCCCTAAGTTAAAAATACAATTTTAAACACTTTTTTTTTTAAATTTCAAGCCATCCATGTGGATAAAAATGAAAATGCTAAATAATTATATAAAATTTCTTAAATTCACTCAAAAACACTTACATAAAAAGAAAGATTTCTTTATTTGGTAACCTAAAAGGCACCTAATTAGCACATCAAGAAAATTAAGATGGACCAACGTTAAAGTTTTAAACTCATAATTAGAGGTGTCAAAATGGGTGACTTGGACGGGTTTGAGTTGGGTAAAATGGATAATGGGTATAAGACTATAAGTGAGTCAACTCATTTATACCCATTTAATTAGATGGGTATAAATGGGTAAGTTAAAAAATGAATTTGGTAATCCAATTACCCATTTATAACCTATTTATTTTAACTTTTTGTAATCTATGACTCATAATCAACCACCCTAAATTACTAACACTTTAGCACAGGAAATGTATCCTTCCACCAAAATAATCCACCCCCTATTACAGCATCAAATACAGATTCAGGCTGATACTTTCTAGCCCTAAATCCATCCTTTAGAAAATCAACAAAAGAATAACAGAAAAATATACATCAAATATGTATGTATCAGTCGAAACTGTGTGATACTGCATAATGTGAAAGAGGTAGGTGGTCAATATTAGTCAAAAAATGAATTCAACTTCGAGAAGAAATTTCTTTGTTTATGGATTCTTGGTTAAAGAGCAGCAAAAGATTAAAACTATAATTGAATTGCATCTGAGTTTGCTCGAGTCCAGGAAGCACTTCTTCCACATCTTACCCAAGAATGCTTATCAGCCATGCATGCAACAAATATCTTCAATATCCACTCAAAGTTAAGCCCACCAATATTTTTCCATTCATAGTTTCTTTCTAGGTAGGCTCAAAGTGTACAGAGGTACAAACAACGAAGTTCATTGCGGCTAAAACATTCAGGTGAATGGCTCAGCCGGCGCGGCTGTGCCTGAGGAGTTCAAATTCTCCTTCATGGTTCTTTTACAGCCATTTCTTGAAACTTCCCACCCTTTCCAAACGGTATTGCAGAAGGGACTATGCAACTCCGGTAATGCTAAAAAACCCACAAAAATTGACGGGCAACTCGACCATCTTTGGCTTAGAGTTGGGAAAGGGTGTCCATAGACGTAATCTTGAATTAAGAAGCTTGGGTAATCAAGGTAAAGTAAGTGAAGCCAGGAAGATGTTCGATGAAATGCCGCAAAGAGATGTCGTTTCTTATGCTTCCATGATTACGATTTATCTTAAACAAAATGATCTTCCTAGAGCTGAAAGTTTGTATAGTGCAATGCCCGAGAGAAATATTGTAGCTGATTCGGCAATGGTGCACGCCTATGCTAAGGTTGGTCAGCTGGATCTTGCGCGGAAAATATTTGATCGTATGCCTTGTAGAAGTGTGTTTTCTTGGACTGGTTTGATTTCTGGGTATTTTAAACATGGAAGGGTGGATGAGGCTTGTGAACTCTTTCGACAAATGCCTGAGAAAAACGTGGTTTCGTGGACTACAATGTTGGTGGGTTTTGCTAGAAATGGCTTGATTGATCAGGCGCAGGAAACTTTTGATCAAATGCCTGTCAAAAATGTGGTTTCTTGGACAGCTATGATCAGGGCTTATGTGGAGAGTGGTCAAGTTGATCAGGCCTTTCAGCTTTTCTATCAAATGCCTGAACGTAATCTCTATTCCTGGAATATAATGATCCACGCCTGCTTGGATTATGACTTGGTGAATGAGGCTGTGCGGCTGTTTAATTCCATGCCATGGACGAATGCAGTTTCTTGGACCACAATGGTTACTGGTCTTGCACAGAAAGGATTTATTGATTTGGCTCGGAAGTATTTTGATCAAATGCCAAGCAAGGATATAATTGCTTGGAATGCTATGGTATCAGCCTATGCTGATCATGGCATCATGTCTGAGGCTAGTAAGCTTTTCAGTTTGATGCCAAATCACAACGTGGTGACATGGAATGCCATGATTGATGGGTATGCCAAAAATGGGCGTCAAGATGAAGCTCTCAAGCACTTTGTTCTCATGCTACGAAGCTCCAGTGGTGCTAACACAATTACCCTCACTAGTGTAGTGATTGCATGTGAGGGAATTGTTGAGCTGTTGCAAGCTCATGGTCTTCTTGTCAAGCTAGGTCTTGAGCAAGCGACCTCATTGACCAATGCTCTTGTTACCATGTACTCTAGGAGTGGAGATCTTAGCTCAGCACGACTTGTCTTTGAGAATCTTGAAGCGAAAGACATTTTGTCATGGACAGCGATGATTCTGGCGTACTCTAATCATGGTTATGGTAACCAAGCATTACAGATATTTGCTCAGATGTTGCGATCAGGCAATAAACCAGACGAGGTTACGTTTGTGGGAGTCTTGACGGCCTGTAGTCATGCAGGTCTTGTCAAGAAAGGCCAAAGGCTTTTTGACTCCATGAGGTCTGCATATAATATCATTCCCAATAAAGAGCATTACTGTTGTCTTGTTGACATCCTTGGTCGAGCGGGGCTAGTCAATGAGGCTGTCAAGGTGGTTTGCCAAATGCCTCCAGGTGAATGTGATGTTGCTGTTTTAGGAGCACTACTTGGCTCGTGCAAGTTATATGGGGAGGTCGCCCTGGCAAAGCTTTTGGGTGAGAAATTATTAGAGCTGGAGCCATCTAGTTCAGGAAGTTATGTGCTTCTATCTAACTTGTATGCTGCTTGCGGTTTGTGGGACAATTTTGCTCATATAAGAAAGAGGATGAAGGAGAGTAGAGTGAATAAAGTACCTGGTTTTAGTCAAGTAGAAGTAAAGGGTGAGAATCATGTGTTTTACGCAGGGGACAGATCTCATAAGGAAATGGAGCAGATTTATGCTGCACTGAAGGAGAAGCTTCTACCGGTGATGCAAGATAAATATTGCATGTACGAAGCTGTAGCAGTATAGATTGACATGGAATTACATTTAGAGCTTGTGCTACGGTGTGGTGATGCAATTTTTGATTGCTGGGATATGCTTTCCACTAAATTGATGCACAGTGCTGCAACAGGTGAAATGTGATAACTAACTAAATTTGGTTTGTTTTGAGGTATTACATTTGTACACTTTGTATCACACAGACACACAAACACACACAAAGGCATGTACACCTAAGTGTACACGTAGATACTCCTATTTGCCTCTGACTATAGCTGTGAACTAACTGATCTTTTGCATTATCCTGAAGTACGCTACAAAAGCATGTCTGAGATACCACACTGAACCAGGAAGATTAGGGGAAAGTATGACCCCAACGTTATTCTATCTTTGAATGTTGACGTTCTCTAGTTTGTAATCCTTTCATTTGTTCTGCTGACAATAAAACAGAAAATGAAGAATTTCTTCCCATAAAGCTTTGAAATCCTATTTTACTAATTTGCGTCAAAATTGAACGTGGACTAAACCTTGCATATAAGTCAAGATGGGCTCAGTGGTGCAGCATTAATTTCTCAATTGAGTTTTCACATTCAGCTCAGTAGTAAGATAGGACCTTTCAATTTTCAAGAGTTTGTTTCCAGTGAGGAATTGTATCTAAACATTTATCATAATGTTGATGATTAACCATGTCCATTTGACTGTCTAAAATAACTCAAAAGGTCATAGAGTCTTTCCTAACTGTCTTTTGATGTATTGATATTCCCGATTCCGTAGCTGAATTGGTGGAAATGCTGCTGAAAAGCACGGAGTTCCAAGGGTATGCATTTGACGGGGCCAAGGTGAAGAAGAGAGAAAAGGAGACCGGTAATTTAGAGAAGAGATGCTGCCTATATTTTGGACTTCCAAATAGATCAAGTTTCCTATTGCTTAACTTTGTGCAGCTAAATTGAGCCCTCGTGAAACAAATCAATATCAGATAGGCTTCCCAATTGTTCCAGCAGAAAGAAAAGCTTAGGACTTTGCTTTGCATAAGAGATTCTCAAAGCTGAAGATTCTTACTTATCTAACCAAGACTATCAAACAGGGTTCCATAACAAAGCAAAAATAGGAGGCCTGGCAATGGTAATGCAGGTAATGCAAATGGAAAAGTAATGGCCGGGTAATGCTGGCATTTTATGAATTTTATTCTAACTTGTTGATCCTAATATTTCATTTGTAATATCAGGTTTATTTGATGACTGAAATGCCCTATACTTGTACAGATTTCTGCAGGCTTCCTAACAGGGAGAAAAGGGTCAAAAGGTTCTTTGATCAAAACAAGGTCCATACCTTTCCTATGTTGGAAGTTACAGGTCCGATTCAAACTCTCCTAGATACCTTGTTGGTCTTCATCAGATAGATGACACTTAATTGGCATCTATCCTGAGAAGCTTCTTGCATTCCATGTTCACAAGTGTTACTTTCAAATGAACTAACTAACTCAGTAGCTGCTTCTGTTGTTCTTTATTGTGAGTATTCCCCGGATACCCGGTTCATTGTTTCTTTTTTTGAGGCACATTTTCTTTGTAAACATGACAATACAAAAGACTGAAATAAGAGAAAGTCGATATAGCGCAGATGGATTTACCGAACAATTTAATACCATTTAAGAGCAAGTTCAGTACAGAATCATTTTTCTGCTGGTGATCCAGTTCTAAGAAAAAATTTTGATCTTGAGAAAATACTTTATTGTCTGTTTTGGTTCATAAAGTAGCATTTCTTTTTCAGTTAACTTTCATCAGTCGACCATTGACCAATAATGCTCATTTGTATTATGCAAGACAATACAAATCATAATTTTAAACAGTACTTTTATGGTCTGTATTAGTACTCTAGCAAGTCCTTTTTTTTTTCCGCAATTAGCTGTTAGTGGTGCCCCTAATCAACCAGTAAATGTTCATTCGGATAGAATAACATGATAAAAATCAGTACATTAAGATAAGGCAACGTTTTTGTTGATACAAAACATAGAAAGTTCAGTAAGTAAAATTATTTTGACATAAACTACAATTGAGAGGAGTTTTACACTCACTTTAACTGACAGAAAGCATGCGCAAATTTTGCTAAAAGAGTGTTAGATTCGTCTGTTTTCTTCTTCCAATTTCAAGGGCATTACGATTTATACATTTGCATACATTCAACATCTCGTAAACAAATTCAGGAAGACATTTAAAAATGAAAGTTCGCAAATGAGGAACTAGTGGATGTCTATAGATAACCTGCATTTTTCCAAATTGAAGAATCAATAGACATTATTATTAGTCGAGTATCATTGCTTTTTTTGAAGTACCAATACCCAGTTTTGTCCTCTGTAATCCGCAAAGCTTAAATTAATAACAACGAAAAATGTAATTTTAGAAAATGAACAGTTCCCATTAAATGGCAAGCATTGCTGATTCCAAATGAACAGCAGCTATCTTTGCAATGTCTTCAACCACGAACAGAAGAAATCAATGTTCTACACTTCAAAACCTCCCCAGCATGACGACGTAACCCAACTTTGCATCTGCAATGACAATAATGTGCTTCTGCTACATGCACTCACAAAATAGTCTCACAACGAGAATTCTTTTGGACCATAAACCCATCTCCTCAAAGAGCCATCCAAGATGTGAAACAAGAGCGAGCAACCCATACGACAAAGGAAAAACATTCAAGAGAATGAATTTAAAATGTCAGTTACCCGGAATTCACTGATTCACAAAAACAGAACAAAGAGCTTGGACATTCATAGCGCGGGATATATCCTCCAAAGTTAAAAAAGATTAAAACCAATGATACACAAAAACCTTTCAAGTTGTCTTTGCTTTCTACATCCAGGATCTGTGAATATGCAATATTCTTTCAAATCTTTCTTACCCTCCATGGATTTGCAATCAGTGTGGAAACCAATATAGGCATACACGGGTGACTGGATTGCCTGCCTCAACCTGAATGCAGAGACTACACAGATGCCTCGGACACCTTACCTTGGGAAGGATATAAATCGAGGACAGAAACCCATAAAGGAGTTTCCAGTCTCACAATCTCAGCTGCATACACGACATACCTATCCCCAAAGTATGCAGTAAACTCAACAACAATCAGAAAAGATACCCGTAAATTCCTGTGAGCAGCAGACAGTATTGAATGAGATTATCATGCTTTTACACCATCCAACCGCCCAAAGGATTAAAAAGACCCCACACCAACACACTTAAAACGAAGGATTAAGAAGAGAAAATTTTTCATACCTAGCCAATAATGCATTGTTACTTAATTAGATTATTATCTTATTATACCTTCAGCAATTTTCGATATGCACAAATAATGCAAGGATGTCGTCATTCAATGATCTTCACGTACACAAACAAAAAGCAAAATGATCCATCAATCAGAAAGGCTAACACATCAGCTTACCTGCAATTGCATACAATTTGAACACCAATATGCTTACAAAAATTTTATCAAATCATGGAAAATATCAGTTGCTTGAGAGCTTAGCAAAGTTAACAAGTTCTACCCTTGACCAACCTAGTCTCCTCTCTAGACATTCTTCTTCGTAGTACTTCACTAATAAGATAGCCAGCGACACCTATTGCTAGGTTCTGTGATGGCCTGGGCTGTACTATCAACCAGTGGTTATCTTCTCTCTTTCAGTGTGTTAGCATAACAGAAGCTCTGCACATTCTGAGGTCCTGCCAAGGCACAGTTCTCTCCCTTGTGGTGGTACGCAAGAGAAACAGAAGAACTGGACTTCGAGCAGCCAGTGACACCTCCAGATTGCACGTAATACAAAATTCAATATAGGGCTGATATCTCAAACAGTATTTCCTTCGGCCCAGAGACGAGTAGAGCTCCAAAACAAGCAATAAAAGACAAGCTCACAGGATACAAGTGAGGATCGTCTCCAGATTTCTAATAATACTATAGAAATAGTCCATCATTGAATCATTCCCCAGGAACTAAACATACCTAGATAGCATGAGCAGCAGTCAGTAACAATAAATCACAAAATACTGCCAACTTGTATATTACATGTAAAAATTTGGATACAACAGCCAAAATGTAACATTTGCTTCAATTCATTCCAAATATACAAGATTTTCTTTGAAATTGAACTATATACCAAAGGCACTTCGCAGACATTCTCAGTTTTGTAAGACGTAATAAACTGACACAACACAGTAACTACCTCAAACGATATGACTAGGAATGGAAATTCAGCATTTCATCAGCCATTTCAAAGCTTCTAGAGTATTACAAGATTAACATTCTCAAGAAAGTCAAGAGTAAATTCAGTGGTCCAACACTACTGAGAACATGATCTACAAGGATCTCAAACCAAACTGCCAATCATTTTACACTGAGAAGGATCACGGAGTTAGTAGATCTTCACGGAACAATTACATGTCAAAAGATTAAGCGCAAAAGCACATAATGATGCTTTGATTAACAAGAGCTTTGTTGTCTTCAGATTTCACACAAATTACTTTTTCCTACTACATTACCTAACCATTGCTTTTGCTGTATCGAACAACACAGCATGCAGAGCGCATGGAGAATTTAAATGAACTCTCACCATCAATGGACAAAAAACAGCAGTTAACAAAAAAAATCTTGACAAAAGAACTCGTACATCTAATTGCAGTACCTGAAATCCTGCCTAATCAAACCAAGACCCAACATTTGGCAGACTACTTTCCAAATGGTGAAAACAGAAAGCTAATCCCAGAAAGCTAATCCTAGTTTCCATCTGATCAGCCAGAACCAGCATCTAAACGTATACTGCCGCTTTGCCGCCCATGAAAATTTCCCCTGCCACGCTTTGACTGACCCAGTCCTCTGTCCTTGTATCTTTGGCCCGCATTATGATATTCATCTTCTGGTTTTTCAGGTTTACTATTGTTATATGACCCCACAGGATGGTACTCATAGTGGTGGATGTTATGCCTCTGCCTATCATTATTCCAATCCCCACGAGGTTCACGGCTTGTTCCAGGATAATTATTTTGAGTTCGACCCCTCTTGATATCAGAAGATAAATGCTGCTTATTTTGAGGATCAGCATTAATAGTATATCTTGATTCATCAGCACCATTTGTGCCTCCATTAGGGGAGTGAGAATGTCCTTTAGATGTGGGCATTCTCCTTTCTTTCCTGTGTCCTTGATGCCCTACATTTTCAGAAGTTTGATCCAGCAGAGAATCTTTTTCACTGCTCTCCTTGACATTAGGCGGAACATGGGAACTAGGCAGTGAAGGATAATCCTTTTTGACATCATCTTTTTCCACAGTAACAGCCTGACCTAAGATAGACCTATTTCCACGCTGGCTGTTATTTGAAGATGAATTAGATTTGGGTTGCCAATGAGACGATGACCGTTCCTCAAAGCCTCGACTCTCTTTTGATAGATTGACCTTCTCAGCATGTTTTATGTCAGGACCCAAAAATAGGATACGACTCCCATCAGCTTCCCCACTAATTTGATTCTTCTCATTGTCATGATTAAATCCCATGCTTTTGTCAGCCTTCAATGAGTGCTTCTTTCCTTTGCCTGTTACTCCCTGATCTTTCGCAACAGGTGAAAGAGCAGGAGCTGCTACATTAGAATAAGTGGACACATTCTGGCCATCAGAAGCACTAGAATCCCTGGATACATTCCCTTCCACTTTGGCAGAATTTAGATTGGGCTTCACAGATTGGTTTTGGCGGACTGATGTCCGAGTACTCTTGCTTGAGTTGGATGAGGAAGTTGGAGATGCATTCTGCGGTGCTTCTGTTGAACCCCGTTGACGCCATGCTCCATGTGCTTTGACTTGTTTATTAAGCCTGGAATCAACTTCCCTACACTCTGCAGTTGATGCAACATTGCAGGTTGCTGAACTACCTGGATGAAGACTTCCGGAGCTTGCTAACCCACTTTCAATTCTCTCAGAAAACTCATCAGATGTTGACATCTCAGTTGAATATGAAACTGGCTGCTGGACACTATTCTGCTGAGCTAATTCTTTGGCAACTGGCTTGGGTACATATCTCTCCATTTCCGCCCTTTTGCTTTTAATGTTACTCTGTACTTGATTATCACATTTTGCTGAAATACCACATTCCTGTGCATTTTGTTGGCTCATTTCACTTGCAGGCTCTGCTTTACTTTGTGACTTCACAGGTGCCCAAATAACAACATCATTGCCATGAGATTTATCCGTAAACCTGTTAGATTGTTGGTTTCTTGCAAACCTGCGAGAGTGCTGAGGTTTTCTGTGGTTGCTTAGTCTACCATAAGCCTCATCACCTTGTAAAGAAGAATGCTGCTTGGAGGACTCCGCTCCATCAACAGTAGTGATCACCTCCTGAACTACACTACTATCCAGATCTGATTGAGAAGCCTTAAAGTCCTCCTTTTCAGTGTAAGCTTCAACAGGGTTACTTTCGTTTGGTGCTGTTGATGGTAAAATAGGCATAGATGGTGCATCATCCAGTTTGTGCTTTTTGCCACTCCTGTTGCCTTTCCTTCTCTGTTGTGCAGAGGACTCGCTAACAATGTTAGGGTTTCTTGGGAAGTTTGATTCACCACTATACAAAGTATCATCTTGAGAAACCACATTGACTTCATTGGAAGTTATACCAGTCTCATTTTTAGGGCCCTCAGCAGCACTGATTGCCTCTGACTGTTGGCTAATTTTCTTTTCTTGCGTAGCATTCTGCTTTGGCTTAAAGCTGTTTCGTTTATGTCTAGAGGCACCACCTTCATTCATTTGGGCAGAAGTTTTACGATCATTGGCATCAGCAGAATGGGCTTCCTGTTTCAAAGGCAAGGACTGACCATCCAAAACAACAGGCTCAATGGGGACAGCTTTGGGTAAATTGCTGCTTGAAGTTGCAGATTCATCACCACTTGGGACAGTGCTCAGACTAGACTGAGTAACACCACCAGAGACTGAAGAAATAACCTTTGTCACAGCTTGAGATTTAGCATCATCCAGGCTCGATCCAGAGTATGTTTGCTGTTCTTGTAGCTCTGGCTGGCACATACCAACCAGAGCTTTTTCATTCTTCAAAGGCTTTCCTCCCTGTGTACGCCGATTCAGCTCCTCCAGTTTAGCAAAAGCCTTTGCCTTCTGTTCTCTAATTCGCTCTTCCTCTTCCTTCTGTAGCTGTAAGGCCCGTTGCTTCGCCAATTCTCTCATTTTGGCACGCTAACAAAGTTTCACAAGTAACACGTCAAACAACTAGATAACAGACATCAAAACATAACACTTCTAATAAGACCAAATACTACATAATGAATAACCTGTGCCTGGCTATCAGTTGAGTCAAATATTTCAGTTGCCATTTCTCCTTCGTTCTTCCCTGTAGGATCCTCAACAGCTGCCACTACAGGTTGGACTTTAGTTTCATGGACATCAATAGATATGATATCAGCGGCTGGGATACTAGCAGGCTCAGCAGCTGGGATACTAGCAGGCTCAGCAGCTACAGGTTTCTTTTGCCAGCCACCACCATCCAAACTGCGAAACCTTCCTTTGCCATTATCACTACCTTTACCATGCATATGATCATATGCTCTCCTGCAAAAATTGGAAATGAGATGTTTAGCAATAAAGGGGAAGAAAGAGAAAGACAGTAAAAAGAGAAGCCTTCTTCACAAACCTAGGAGCAAATGCTGGGTGAGAGCTTCTATCCCCAACAGAAGGAAGCATTTCATGGGATCCAGGTCCCATAATACCAGCTTTGATCATGTCATTACCCTTAGGGTTAACAGCTTGGGACGAGTTCTGTGGACCATCATAACGTCCATCAGAGGCACGAACTTTCACATTCAAGCCTTCAATTTTCTGCATTAAAGTTGAATCTCTTGCAGTAGCTGTTACAGTTAAACCTCTTTCTGTGCCTGGAGACGGTTGTGACATTCCTGGAGAGGGTGCAGCAGTCACAGATTGGTGTTTCTGATTATTATCAACCACAGCACTGCACACATTCTCAAATGACTGGACCTTGAACGTGTCAGGATCATGAGCCCCTTGATCCTTTACTTTGTGTGAACATGAGTTTTCACCTTCTGTTCTCATTGCACACATCTCTTCTTCACTATCAGGCTCAGGCTCAGCACCCCACTCCCTTCGCAATGACACACCAGACAGGACTCCTTTCTTAGGATGTGAGGAATTATCGAATGTTGGCCTGCGTTCCAAATTCTCACCATCCCCCTTCCCATTCCCTTCATCATGTTGCTTTAAAAGAACTTTATATTGCCCAGAGGCATCACCAGAATGAGCTGTTTCTACGTGCTCTGACAACATTTTGCCAGCAGGACCAGTCCTACCAGCTCTGGCACGAGAATGGCCAGGATCAGGAGCACTTGGAGTTGAATGTCTATTATAAGCAGATGGGCCACCCATGCCCTTAAATGGTACTTCCCGTTCATTGGAATTGCAATAACCCATTGGTGGGCCATAATAGCCCTCAAAATGCATTGGACCAGGATAAAAACCTGGCCTAAATGGCATTCCTGGACGTACAAAAGCTTCAGGCATCTGAGGCCTGTATAGCTCCCCATTTTTTGGATGGTGTCCCCTAGGACCAGCCCCTGGCAGAGGAACTGGCTGTGAATTTGGTAAAGCTGGAGGCGGAATTTGCGGACAGTAGTAAGGGAATGGCTCAATGGGGAAGCCGCCAGGTGCGACAGGGGCTCCATAAGGTGGCCCCGCAGGAGGACCTCTATACCAAACACCAGCTGGTGCATTCATGGGAGGGCCACGCCACGCATCAAACTGTGGTGGGGGAATATTGGAATTGACATATTGTTGAGGCTCCCCATGCCACTTCACCTGGCTAGGCTGCATCCCATCATCTGCACTTCGGGGACCATCTCTGTCCCATGCATTAACTGTTCCGCTCGTGATATCTGGATCAGAGAAGAATCACCATAAATTACATTCTATATTGCATAAAATTCTATTACCTAGATGGTAGTTCAATAATGACCAGAAAAGCTAAAAGCACATTCACAGACCCTGACCAGCTTGAGATTCTTCTGTCTTCTCTTTTCTCTGGGTGCCAGAAGCTGAACTAGGACGGCTATGAGAACCCTGATCTGCCATTGATTGTTAACGAAGCAATCAAAACCTCAAGCACTAATCAAGTTTGATAAAACTAACAGTTATCACAAGAAAAGAAAAGTTCCTGAATGAAAGAGGCTTTAGAGAAATGACTAGGACGCTTATGCAGCAGATCAAGATAAAAGATCACAAATAAAATCTACACACAAACAATGATCGAGTATAAAATCTGATTTTAACTGCAAAGGGAACAAATAAGCCCTCAGCCCCAAATTGAGTTCACTCTGTTCCTAATCAAAATTTCAGACATTCAAAACAATTGTTTTTCCTTCTTTTGCAACTTTTGAAAAATCCAGTCAAGGAATAGAAATTCCAAGTCAAGCATAAGCATGTGAGAACATTGTTTAGTGGGAAAAAAATGAAATAATAATCCAAAAACAAAAAGCTTCACCATGCAAGAACCATATGTGCAGATGGTATCCCATTTCAAAATCTTGAAAGAAAGACAGGCCCATTCTTGTGCTCAACAGTGAAAAATATTTGCACATAAGCTCTGGAATTCCAGTACTAAGCTGAGTTCTTTGAGGTTGAGTAAGATATACGGCCTATTAATACCTTTCGTTTTTAATTTATAATGAAGGTGAATGATGAAAAGTTCAACATACGTACGCAATTTTTCTTAGACCAAGTCATACTAGGTGCTCCCTGCTTCTCTTCCTTAATTCTCTCTTCTTCCACCTATTTCTATGATTTTCCATTCTCCTGCCCCACACACACGCACACCCACCCCCCAACAAAAAAGTGCTCTATTGACAGGAGATGCAAGAAAAATGCATCATCTATAAGGACAACAAAAACTTCTAGAGTACATTTGCAATTAAAAATCACTAAAAAACCGTGATCCGCGCACGTGAAATACTGTAAAATAGATACTCCTAAGGGCAATCTGTAATGGAGGCATCAGCAAATAGCAACGTATTAAAAAATCCTAATGGCAAATAACCAATTACCTCGTGGCTCAGAATTCTTCGCAGAACCATCTCTACTTGAATTTAGTGTTGGAAAATCCCCAGTACTCAGAGAGAACCTGTCATTCTCGGAGGAAGCAACCCCCTGTCAGATGCACAAGGTGAATCAGCCTGATAAAAATCCTCAATAAGGAAGAGATACAAATAGAAGATCAACACAATAAAGTAGAATCTAAGAACAAATTAAGGAACAAGGGAGGAGACCCAGAGGTTAACTAGTCTAAACCCAGGAAATCAAGCATGTCGGACAATAGAAACATACCACTCTTTCTGCAGTACCACTTGGAGCCCGCAGACCTGTACTATCAGATACAGTTTCTGCAAACCGTGACAGTTGTGAGCTACTAGGTCTTGTTTCTGCACTCTGTGGCCGCAGCGAGGTTGATGTTTGGTTTGATGCCAATACTCCAGAAGCTGATGAAGGCCTAGAACTTGGACCCCATACATTAGCAGTGCGCTCATATGTTCTATCACTACCAGCAGTTGATGGTCGACTACCACTTCCAGCAGATGATGGACGCCCACTCAGCTGGCTTGGTGAACTGACACTACCATCAGCATTTGAAGACTGTGTTGTGGAACCCCATGGATTGGAAGCAGATGATGAAGGGCGGCTTCCCCAACCAAGACTACCCCTATGAGGCCCGAAAACCCAATGAACTTGATTAAAACATACAGCCCAAATAATAAACATACAAAGAATGGGTATCAATCAACCGTAAGAGCAGCACATCAAGCAAGCTGACAGGTGGACGTGTTTATTTTAGAGAGAGAGAGGGAGGGAGGGAGGGAGGAAGTTTTTACTCACTTGGGAACAATTTCCACATTGGGATCCAGGCCATGATTTTCTAACCTTCAAACATCATTCAAAAAAAGATTCAGAAAGTAACCCTAGCGAACACCAAAGAAGAAAAGATTAACTCAAGCAAAAAACAATACCTTTGGCTGGGTAAATTCAAAGGCTTTGGAACAGAAACTTTCCCCAACACAGTCATTCCAGTTCGTCTTGCAGAAGCCCATCTGCAACAATATCATTATATCCAATTGTAGATCCCCATCAAGAAGATACAGAATTTGTCAAACATCAGAACCAATAGCACCAATCAGCTCCCAGAGATGCACATGCATCCAAAAGGGCAAGGTGCCAACTACAACAGAAAGTATATAAACAAAACTCTAATGACACAAATAGAACTGAAATTCCCAGTCTGATCAAAGCCAATACCCTAAACAGCACCAGAGTCTACCCCCCAAGTGTAAAAAATAGACAAGTGAAAGATAACAGAAGGAAGGTGACGAGAAAACAACAATCTTCCGATGCCGCCTTGGTCTAGTGGTCAACGAGTTAGACGTCTGGGTTCGAGCCTCATTAAATGTGAGCATTCTCCAACTTTATGTTAGTTATCATACCACTATTTGTGGGTTAGTTAGTTGTGGTGTTAATCACTTGATTGGTTATAACCAATTTGCATTGATCCCATTTTTGTGGGTTACTTGTACTCTGAGAAAGAAAAAAACTACAATCTCTCTCCATGAGACTTGTGGAGGCTTAAACTCCCCTCATCAACTTAGTACTGCAATGAAATCTGCCATGCACCCAGGGGAAAGAGGAATTGGAAACACAAAACACAAAACACAAACTAATTTTATCCATTAAGAATGAAACTACACGAATGAACTACATACACAACAAATGGGTGTGTGCCCAAACTACATACACAAAATCACCATCAAACTACGTATTCGAAAAAAAGCAACGCAGCATCTCTTGTGCCTCAAACATAGTTGCATCAATAATCCATTTCTTTGATTTTCAAACTACATCGTTTTCTTATAAAATGAAGCAAAATCACACCCAATACACCATCTATTATGCCAACCTAAGGAGGACGATATCCATACATTGTTATGCTGGTAATCCATTTCTTTTAGTTTGAAAGACGTGTATACCATTTTGGACCCACTGTCACTGGAGTGGACAAAAACAGAAGTTCAATTGCAGAAAAATGATACGCACCAGCAACTTTATTGAGTTATTCAAACACAATGTGTTTCAACCCCCTTTAAGAGCACTTTTGCAACTATTTGGCAATATTAACCAAAATCACATACTTAGCTCTTGTATAGCCATAACCAGATATAAAAAATGCAGACCTCAGCATTTGTACCCACAATTACCTAAAGTATTCCTTTACCATGCCCAATGCATTCCTAGCAAGTTAATGATGCAAATCAAAGGGACACATTGGTAATTCTACCAAAAGCAGCCTCATGTAGACATAGGATTACACATCTTCATAAACAGTAAAAACTCCCAACAAATGACAGTAAATGTGAGATGGACCTTATGAGGTAATGCAAAAATAGAAAATAATGCGAGCAAGACTACAGTATTTAAATGGAAAAAAGGTGACTCACCTCACATACATATAGCAAAAACAAGCTACCCAATTAACTTAGCTCTAGCTTAGAAGATAAAATAAGGTATGAAACACATGTTGAAGGTCTTTAATGAGCTTGTATAGAGAAACAGTTTTCAAAAAAATTGACCATATCTCTACCTTCTTCAGCAGCTTATTGTTATATAGAACCCACAGCTATATCCCCTACCCACAGATATGAATAATGTGTCTTACGAGCCTTTGCCTTCTCGAGACAGCACAACTTAGACTATATGCAGTAATTTGATCCGACCATACAAACGTATTAGCATTGAATCTAATCTTACAGCGACAAATAAAAAGAATCTCTACCTTCGTTCTCCTGCTAATATATTTGACGTCATCTTCGAAATAACATCCCCAGATCATTCAGATGAGTCGTGGTCTGGGTGAAAATGCAAAGAGAAATCATCAGAGGTTACAAACAAAAGCTTAACAATTACAGACAGAGCAAAAGCAAAACCAATTAAAATTATCGTGCATGAAAGTTCTATTCTGCCTTTATTGTACAGTTCCAGGATTACAAAACTACATACACTCTGGAACCAAAACAACACACAACATAGAAAGCTTAGAGTCTGTTTGAGGGTGGTCCATTTTTCATGAAGCTTGTTCTAAGCAAAAAGCACAAAATTTCAGGTAACCAATAAGCAATTTGAACCAAAATGATTTGCCCAATATTCGCCCATGCAATCCTGCCAAACATTTCAAAGCACCTTTTCCTTCTCCAAACTGTTCCCAACCATCTCCTTTACAAATATAAAAGGAGAAAAAAGACAAGGCAATGCAATCCTTTAATACTTGCTAGCAAGAAAGTCATGAAAATCGTGTTCATGACAACCTTCGAAAGCAGTTTTAGTGGGAACCCTCAATCAAATCCTTTCTATTCATTATAAACCCTCCTTGATTCGCAAAAGCCACCAGAGTTACTTTACTACAAATAGAAACCTTTAAACGTCAGTAAGACACAATTTTCAAAGAGAAACAAAATCAGAAAACCTATAAAAACAAAAAACAACATTTAAACCTCTGTACATGTTAATACATGTACTTAGACAAAAAAATAAAAAATAAAAAAATTATGCCCGAGTAACCCCAACAAGTACAGTGGAATCAATCCCTGGAACATGACTCCCATTCTATCAATAAAGCAAAAGCAAAAAGAAATACTAACAGCTTTCAAGTCAATGCACTATCAATTCACACATGCCCAACCAGCACCTAAAAATGCCCAACGCCCCTTTTTTTTGGCAATTAAGCAATAAAGCGCTACAACCCCGAAGACCTGAAGGCATACACATCAATAATAGTCTTTTCCTAAAAATGCTTCATAACTAGCGAACAGCAACTGATCCTTGAGAGCTTAGAATAAATATGATCCTCAAAATGTCAGTCAATTTAACTACTTGTCCATGACACTATCAAGCCTAAATCTGATACACAAAGCAAGTCCTACCTGTACTAAATATGTGAAATAAACCCCGAGAATCCATAATTACATTCATCTGTCTACCTCCAACCAAAATCACAATATGCACAAAAAGAAGGCTTTCTAATATAATAAGACATTGTGTATTCACCATATCCTTAAAAAAAAAAATTTCTCAATCCCTACATGAAAATAGGATACATCAATGCAATCCTAAACCAATGCTTGGATGACTATGTAATCAGGATCTCAACAAGTTTAACTACTTAACAACCTGCATAGAATCCTCTCCAACCCTTAAAAATCAGAAGCTTGTCCATCTTAACCATATAAAACAACCCAACATAACAAAACAAAAACATACATATTCCACCTATCAAACAAAATACACACACAAAGCCTCAAACTTTTCAAGGGCACAGCATCATAGACAGGGTTTATCCTTTCATCCAGTAAAAAGAATAGAAATATGTCAATTGCTTCACATGATCCGTAACATCAAATTTCTGAACCACAAAAGGACTACATAGAATTAATATAAAACGACTGTTTTGCATAACCACACACCCACTTACAATAACTATAACACTCAAAATACAAAAAACAGATTTAACTTCTTAAGTGCCTCTCAACAGCCCCTCCCAAACCCCTTAAAGAGTAGCCATCCAAAAGAACTCCACCCCTACGAAATATATCAAAATCCCACCCGCCAAAAATACCAAGATATAGTATACAAAGCTACCCATAACTCCAACCAAAAGCAGAAAATACACTATAAAAGCCGTATGCTTGCAGCAACACAACATTATCCACCGCTTAATTCTTGAATACCGTTAGTATAAAGGAGAATATCTCAATCAGTACCCAAACCACAAAAAAAAAAAAAAATTGTTCGTAAACTGCATAATCGTAAAACTACTTAGCAGTAACTATAACATTTCAAAAAGGCAGCAAATTCAACTATTTAGCCAAGCTAACAAAGACTTCTCTTGAAACCCTAGAATCAAAGACGCCCATACCACAATCCACCTCCGAAAAGAAAAACTAAAAATACATTCAAACATCCTCCAAGCCAAAAACACAACATACAGAGGAAAAAAGCCAGCATCTTTTGCAGCAATACATCCTCATAAACAAGGTTTCTCCTTTTTCTCCTTTTCCTTCTTCTTTCATTTAACCAAAATGAAGAAAAAAACTTCGAAACTCACAAAATAGCTTCCAAAAAATGCAACAAACAAACTGAATCCCAAACACGGAGCCAAAAAGCAGAAGCTTACCGGAGTGAAATCCGTTCGGATCTTCAAGAAACTCCGATCTAGGTAAACTTCTTTTCCTCGAGACAAATACTATAGGTAAAATAAAGGTATAAAATTTTATCTTCTAAATCAATAAATTATAAATTATAGAGAGAGAGAGGGGGGGGCAGGAGACCGGTGACGATTAAAAGGTTTTCGCTCCTGAGTGCGTGAGTGTGTGTGTTTGCGTGCGCGCGTGTGCGCGTGTATGTGATTACGGTGATGAGAAGGGATCGGAGGAGGAGGAGGAGGAGGAGATGGGGGGACAGGGGAACACGGGGAAGAAGGGGAAGAGTGCTTTCGGACTTTCGAGTTTCGAGTCGGAAGTGTGGAACCCACAAGTTGGGTGGGCCGTGGGGGGGCCTAGTGCTTTAACTCATGGGATAATTTCAGAAACCTCCCTTGAGGTTTTTAACAATTTCACTTAGTTCTCTTGAAGTTTTAAAAATTATGCATACCTCCTTTGAGTTTATCATTTTGATAACAAAAACTATTCAATGGTCAAATTTTGAATGAATAACCTAAATTATGAATAACCTAAATTGTCCCGTGAAATTGTGAAATTCATTTTATTTTCTTATAAAATTCTATAAAAAAATATATGAAATATGCACAAAATTTCAAACTCACTTTCAACCCTCATCTTTACTATTTTAAATATTTCATATTTCTACGTCTTGAATTAATACCATTATCTTTGTGATCACTGCTACCATAAGTACTATTAAACTTAAAAATTTTACTAACTATATGAATATAACATCCCATCTTCAAGTGTTGGAATACCAATACATGCCCTGCTATATTTAAATTTTCAACTTACATTTATTTCTATTCATCTTTAGATCTTTCGAGCCAAACTAAAATTAATTTGTAAATATATTATAATTATGTTAAGGACATAATTACTTATTCTATAAGGAACCTTGTTTTTGTTTCCATTAAATATTTAATTGTATGGTGCATTTCTATGCATAAGATTAGAGTCTAGTATTTAATTGCATGAAATATATCAATATATTAAAGTTATTAGGGTTATTTTATAGGATTAAGGGAGGTAAGTGTAATATTAAAAATCTCAAGAATACTAGATGCAAATATCAAAAACCTCGAGGGAGGTTTCGAGGTTTCTGAAATTTTCCCTTAACTCTTTTGTTTAACTACGGTTGAGTTAATAATGAAAAAGCTAAAAAGTACTGCTAACTTCTTTACCTTTTTTCTTTACTTATTTATTTGTTTTTCCTCTTACAATTTCATAAAAAAAAGTCTAAAAACGTAAAAGAAACTAATTCTTCTCTTATATTAATTCAAGGGAAAATCGTTCAAAATGTTTCTCACATTTTATAAAATAATTTCTTTTATCCTTTATTTTTAAAAACGTTATTTTACACCCCTTACAATTCACATTAGTCAAATTTGATTTTTATATGGGTTTTTAACTAGTTTTTGTCGGAATCCACCACATATCTGGCACGTGATCATTTTTTAAAGGCAAAATTGTTAAATTATATTTCACATAATCTGATCCAAGGTCCATCACATTTCACAAAATAAATTTTTTTGTCTCTCATATTTTATAAAATGAATTTTTTTGTCTCTCACATATCACAAAATGAAAATTTTCATCAATCATTGATCATATGTACGAATAGTTTTTTTTTTCTTGAAAATTCATATATATATTTATTTGATTTCACCTGAACAATACAAATAGCATGTAATATATTTGTACTTGATTTCACCTCAACAAGCTAATTTTAGTTATAAGTAAAATCAAATAGAAATATATTACATATTATTCATATTGTTCAGGTGAAATTAATTAAATATATACATGGGTTTTAAAAAAAACTATTTGAACAAATGGCCAATGAGAGATGAAAATTTTCATTTTGACATGTGTATGAATAATTTTTTTCTTATTTATGAAAATTCATATATATATATATCTATTTGATTTCACCTAAACAGTACAAATAACATGTAATATATGTCTATTTGATTTCACATGAACAAGCTGATTTAGTAGTATGGGGGAGGGAGTATAAGTGAGAGGTCTCAGATTCAAACCCTCCCACTTATACTAAAAAAATAGAGATATATTATATATTATTTATACTATTCAAGTGAAATTAAATAAATATATATATTTTAAAAAAAAGACTATTTGTACACATGATCAATGAGGGATGAAAAAAATTCATTTTGTAAAATATAAGAGATAGAAAAATTGATTTTGTGAAATGGGAGGGATTATGAATTGGATTATATGAAATTTGATTTGACAATTTTGTTCCTAAAATATGATCATATGCAAAGCACGTGGTGTATTCCGGCCAAAAATTAGTCGGAAACCTAGGTAATGATCAAATTTGATCAATGTAAATTTATAACGAACGTAAAATTATACTTTTAAAAATGAATGACGAAAAAAGTTATTTTTCAAAATATGAGGGACGCTTTGAACGATTTTTCTTTAATTTAATTGACTCTTTTGTCTTTTCAAATTATATGTATATGTGCGTGTGCGCACTGAATTGTATTACTATTAGGCTGTAAATGGTTTTATTTCAACTGTACAATTGGAATTATTGTCTTATTGGCAAAATTTTGGAGTCTTGGTGCCTTTCCACTTTTTTCTACTTCTGTCAAGTCATTATATGCTTGTTAAAGAGGTAATCGTTTCAATGTATTTAATGGCCGTGATTTGGCTACTATGTTTAAAAGTTTAAATATATGGTCGAAATTGTGTTGTATAAATCTGGATTCACGATTGTAAACTTTTTATTGGAAGTAGTAAGTCTTTCTAATATTACAAAATTTTAGAAATTGTTTTTTGACGAATTATAATTTATTAACGACGTCGTATGATTTGAGATGATTGTGACTGACAATCATCTTGCACCTCTCCCATTCTCAATTCATCAAATTCTACTGGTGTAATGCTAATAATTAAAATGACATTTAACCCTTCAGAGTTTTGGGCAAACTATGAAATGAACCCTAAAGTTTAAACAAGTTATATTCAAATCGCTTGAATGGTTAAAACTTGAGTTTGACAAATAAATAGTTTCCAGGTGGTAAGGGACATTAGACATTCTGCGGATCCTGCGCCTACCAATTGGAGATGAAAAGAGTGCAAATAAGGCTACGCTGTTTGAGCTCAACTACTCGGATTCGACTCAATTTAAAAAACTTAAATTCAAGTTTGATTTTATTTTATCTTACTCAAATTCAAATTCAAACCCGTGCAACGCACACCCAATCGATCAATGAGCTTTCAAAATTCACGTATTAGGTTTGAACTCGAACTTGTCAAGTAGTTTGGATTGCTCGAACTTGAATAATGGAGCTCAAATTTTGACCAAATAATCTCGCAATCTATTTGATTGAACCCTACTTGTTTGCACCATTAAGTATGAGGACGGGTGGAAGGGTTACAAAAAGTTTATTAAAAATTTTACCAATTTGAAGCAAATAAAGCTAATTATAGAGAGGAGATGGATGAATTGGATGATACTGAGAAGAGATGGATAAGTTAGAGATCGGAATTCAAAACTTCCAATTTACACGAAAAGAAAAAAAAAAAAACTAATTATAGAAAAAGCTAGGCAACTAAAACTAGATATATAGCAAAACAAAAACACACACACAAATAGATACTCCATGATCCCAACTAGTTTCAAAAGATAATAACAATTAAGCACAATAAAAGAGATGTAAAGGACTTAAGGACTCACATCAAAGGTAATTAAGTATTACGCCTCAGTACAAAATTGTACAAATTGTTTGCGATGAATTACAACTTGTTATTATAAAATTACACGGTTCACCAACCGTAGTACCGTTCTTACAACATTTTGTAACTCAAACTAGGAGGCGCGGTGTAAATTTCAAAGACTGACATGCCCGGTGTTGCTGAGTAAGCTAATAAGAAACTGTATTGTTGGATGTTTGAAACACAGGTCCATAGGAAACCTCCTCACTATTGCTCGTTGTGGAGAAGCTTCTAAGGCTCCTGAGAGTTCTCATAACTCCCTACAATGTTAACAGGTACACCCGCTGCCATCAGATTTAGTAGTGTATGCTCCAACAAATAGTTGATCATTTTAATCTCAAAATTGATGTAGTATAGAGAATCACAACATTCAACTAATAAGTACAATGCAGATCAATCAATTACACCTGATGGAAGATGATATAAATGAAAGTTATATTCAGAATGAAAATCCTCAAACCAAAAGACAATTCTTTAAATGTCTAATAACTTTTAGTACCTAATAGTTGGATTTTGCACCAATTCAGTCCCTCCGGTTCCATAAGAAACACATTTAGTGTCTTAACTTTCCAATATAGAACGATTAATTGACATAAAGCAAGCTAATCATAATTAGGTGAAGCACGCAAGGATGTTTAACTGTTGGCTTTGGAGGTAAACAAACATTACAGGGCAATATATGTTCCAGTCAATGGTTAAAAGCATCAGCTGATCTATGCAATGTAGAAGCCTTTCCACAAAGCAGTAGCAGGTTGTCTGTTGATACCTATTTATCACATTGCTTCCCAAATAGAGAGCATTGTGCTATGAAATATACGAAAAACATTTAGGCAATTGTGCAGAAAAAATGCCCATTGTCTTCTGTTTAACTGATGCCGAGAGCTAATGTCCACATGCAGTACTAGTTTCCTCTCGCAATTAATATCCAATTTCAGAACAACTGTCCATGATATGTCCAAATTGAGAAGTTGATGAATAATGTGTGTTCCCAAAAGTTGACTGACCAAAAAAAAAAGGATAATCATTTAATAGAGTAGCATTATTAAAAAGTGCTGAACAATTCGTAGCATCATGCGTAGGGACAATATATTAAGAACTTTGGAATAATCGCCAATAATTAAAAATTTTGATATTATTCCTCATACCTGATTAGAAGCTGTTCCACCACTAATACCAGTATTTGCAAGAGCTCCTACACTGTGTTTATTCACATGTACTCAGACTTTTCCATGTTGGAGAAGGACCATGTCATCATCTCCAGGTGCTTCAATTACAGTAGCCAACTTTTTCCCAAGTCCCTTGACATACATTTGCTCACCAGGCTCTGGTACATACAACCTACTGTCCGTATTCCCAATAGAAAGACCATCAGTAGGCTGATGAGCTTCAACAAGGGATGCAATTGCAGACTCTGCTTTCTTCAGCAGCAGATTGTACTTATCTGCATCAGCATTTTTAAGTTGGTTCTCAAATTCATGCACTATATCTTAAATTTCCTTCTTCACAGCCTTCAATTCCTGTTGGATCTGTTGGCTCTCCTTGGTCTCAAGAGCTGTCTCACGCCCTTCAAGGTCATCTGCTGCATTTATTATCTTCAATTTAGGAAGGAAAAATGGAGTAAACAGAAAGTTATGAAGCAAAAGAGGGTGCAAACTGTGAGGTAACAAAGAAGAGTATTCACCACTTTCCACCCCTTTTAAAAGTTGAAGTGAAACAAAAGGGGAAAAATACTCTTGTACATTATATGATGTACTCACCTACATGTAATAGCATGTAGTGTATAAATAAAACACACTTATATAAATGGATACATGTATAGGTTAAGAAATTAAAATAAAAAATGATAGATATCATGGGCAACAGAAGTTGCCAAGAAGAGAGAAAAGCCATTCCTTGCCCACCAATACGAGCAAACACGTTACCCTAGTGCTGTATGCAAGTGCTTCAGCTTTCTGTGCAACTTATGTGACGATAAACATAAATGAAGGAAGCAGGCTAGATATGGTAATCAAGGACTGCAATAAAATAGGAGAAAAACATTTTCATTGCATATTGTCTCATAACAAGTATCTCTTTACTCAAAGATTAAATATTTACAATCATGCAACTTATGCATACCTCATAATAAATGCTCATAATATCCGAGTGAAGAGATGCAGCTTTTATTTGCTTGAATTTCTAATCTACTTCTTTCTTCCATTAGTCACTGGTGCAGCAAATCTTTCTGCATCTGTACCTTCTGTGGGGTCAACTTGTTTATCCATGCTTGGGCACAGTTAATTATCTTCTCATCAAAGCCAATTCTTTTAGCAATGTTTATGGCATTGGATTCCCCTACGCTTCCCCAAATCATCTGGCATTGGATTCTTTTAGCAATCAAGCCTGTCATAGTCCAGTCCACATTCACCAATTGCAGCCACCTTACAAAAATTAAATTGTCGCATTAAGAAAATTGAGGAAGATACATGTATCTAAAGTAATCTTTTCTATGTTCTTCTAAATGCAGCACTTTAGTTTACCTTTCCTTTCTCAACCCCCTCTTTAGTCAATGAGAGAAGAGACTGAAAATGCTTTTCGGGATCCCCACTCTCATCAAATTCCTGAATCGATCACAAATGTATCCATTCATCCTTATTCTCACACATTCAATAACTTAAGGATGGCATTCAGAAGAGTATCAACAGTCACTTTGCATCTTGTTGGGTGCACATCAACCATGCAAAAAAGTCTTGCTGCAAGGGAAAATGGATTGCCAAGAATATAGGGTATAAGGCGCCAAGCGAGAGACAAATGGCAGAGAAAGATGAAAAATCTAACAAAGGAAAACGTGTCTGGCTAACCATCAGTTTCAGCAATAGCAAGAGCTTCTTTTGATTCCTCTAGAAATCCACCAGTTACCTAGGACAGAAAACGCAAGACAACTAAAGAATCATTTAGCATGATTAATCCCGATTACAGAAGGCAAATAACCAACCTTAACAACAAGAAATAAACCTCTCAGTTCTGTTACTCCAATAAAACGGGATGAATTACAAATCAGCAAATTTTACAAGCTCATCCATCCTCTATGATATTAAAACAAGAGGTTGAACTTCTCCAAAAGTGGAACTTCAAAAGATCCAAAGTTCATATTCTCTCAATTTATTGAGCAAGCCAAACTATCAAACAGCCTGAGTTAATAATACCATCTATCTAATTACAAGTAGAGTTTCATTTTGTGGGACCCCTGATACTCCTTTCCCAACCCCTAAAAAAAAAAGAAAAAAAAGAAACCCTACTAATAGGCTGCAAACTTATCCTTTGCAACAAGCTAATAGTAATACCAACCAGAAAAATAGTCGCACGAGACATATCCGTATGAAAAAGATCAAAGTTTTGTTCAGGGATATATACTTACAATAATTCGATCAACACCGGCGCTCCAAGCCCTGCTGAGTACTGCAACAATATCTGCCACATGGTATTTCTTGCCGTTGTATATTCCTTTGAACATACCATCTGTAATTGAGATTCATTTATGCATTAAAAGTAGGTTTACTGAAAAAACTATGTTTCACGGAAAGTGTTTTAGAAAGATTTAAGATTTGACATACCAGTGAGATTGACTGCTATATCTGTTCAAGTTAAAACCCCACAAATACTATATCATTAAACATGATTAAAATGACTCGGTGCCTTATTCAAGACAAATACAGAAAAGGGTTACTTGCCAATCATTCGGATAGTCGCTATTAGTGAAAGTTGGAGTCTTTTTGGGTGTCTGTCTGCCTGAGAGTCCGCTTGAGATGAGATCAACTGGAGGTCTAGAACAGCAAATAAAATTTAATAGAGAACAAAAGAAAATTTAATCAAGGGGCAAAAACAGCATACACAAAATTAAAATGGAGAATGCAGTGGACTTGAGAGACAATCAAAAAACAAAAAGAGAGAGAGATGGAGAGAAGAATATTGACTTGTGTTAAAAAAATAGCGAAGAGGGGCAAAAGAGCAGAGTAAGATTGATTGATTGAGAAAAGGAAAAGGGAAAACAAAGGGGAGAGGAGGACGCCTGGAGATTGGAGTGGGTAAGACTTGGTGAAGCAGTTTCTGATTTCCAGTGAAAGTCGGAAGACCTGGAGACCAGTACAGAACCAAATGGAAGGAAAGATAGAGTATATACTTCTACAAGGCATAAAGGACTCTTGAATTCATATATGTTTCTAAGTAATCAATTGTAATGATTCTTGATTAAGCAACATTTGCTACAATTTTGTGAGAGAAGAGTGCTCACAATGTCTCCCATGGATTGGGGAGTTGGCTCAATACGATCTTTGTTCTTGGTTCAAATTGATTGCTCCAAATGGCCAATTTTCCAAGGATAACACTTAACATTTTTGCTCCTCAGAAAATAATAAAAAGCTTCACATCTTTCATTATCTTCTTAATTTCTTAATTATAACTTTCCCTAGCTTCTATCAATCATTCATGGTACATTTCTTATCACTTGTCCCAGCTATTATTAATGAACCCCTCCTTCTTCCAGTCTTATTATCAAGCTGAAAAAATTTTGCTTTAAAAGAAAGGAAAAAAGGGTAACATCTTCTTATGTGAAGATCAAGTACGATTTTAGATATGATAATCAATAAACGTTAATCAAATTGAAGTCTTGAAGGGTTTCAAGTCTCATAATTAAAGTTCTTATTTTTAACAGTAGATTCTATGTTTTTGTAGCAGTTTATCAATACAAGAAACAAAAAACTGGTAGAACAAAAAGCTAAAAAAAAAGAGAGAGAATGATCAGCTAACCTGAATCAATACAAGCTCCAAATATATAACACAAGATGATGAAGAAAGAAAGCTCGTTACAGCAACCACATATGAAGAAAGCTGCATGCAAAATGTAAAGGGAAAAGATGAGAAAAAGGCAGAACACAAATAAGAAAAAACAATGGACAAATGAAAGGTAGAACAAAGAATCAAAGAAGATAGAAAATTTAAAATAGCCTTACCTTAATGCAACGGCAAAATAGAAAACACCCATAAACAGAGAAAGTAAACCTGAATTAGTCGATGAATGACGGACCAAAAAACATATTGGAATAAACAGGATTATAGACGAAATAGTTCACTAAAAGAAAAAGCTCACCTGACGAATCTGTATCAACAAGAGCAAAACAAAGAAGACGCTTCGAAGAAACAGAGCAGAAAAAGAGAAAATAAGAACTAACCAAAGCAACTGGCAAACACAATCATGTAAGAGGGAAGATAGAATATCGTGCTATAAACAATAATACAAAAAATGGATGCAAAAACTAAACACATCACTAACCATGAGTGTGAGCAGAAAATCCGGGCAAGAATGCATAGCTTTAGCTGCAGCGGTGGGTTTTTGGACAGAACAAAGAAAGTGCTACAGTCAGATCTGGCAGCTTCTTTCAAGTTTCAATAGCCGTCAACAGTAATGGATGTGTTTTTTACAAATACAACCCAAAGGTAAATAGAATTTTGCCTCTGGATCTGACCACAAAAAGGATGAAGAGAACGGTAAAACCAAAATGAATTTGTTGTCATCGGTAAGAAAGATATGATGGGAGGGCAAAATTGTAATACAATTGCCCTTATAGTCAACTGAACAATTATTACGATGATGACAATCAACTCCCAATACATCTTGGGAAAGCCAAAACAGAAATACTAAAGGGGTCCAATCGGATGCAAGGAAAGTGATGGCATGTAGCATTCATTTAAAAATACAATAATAACATTCCCATTCGGAATTTTTTTTTGCACAAACACGTTCAATTCTCACGGACAAGGACGACCACAAATTGTCCAATAATATTTTGCCACATCACAAAAAAAGAAACTCTCTTGGCACACCTCTACACATTTAGTACATATGTGTTAATAAATGCTATCACTGAAAATGATTGACTCAGATCATTCTCCTGTTGCACGTAATGAATGCTGCCACTATTACTCTGTCACATAGACCTCTAAGAAGAGGAGCTTTCTACCATCTTCACCATATTTAGAAGATCTCAGCCCCTGGTCTGCAAAATGCTCATCGTTTCCTTAAGTTGGCTGGAACTGTTTCATCAGTAAAGTACTCATCTCTGGCCACCTCTGCTGAGCAAAATCTCACCTTCAAAACATAAATGATTACTTTGAACTCAAGAGTATGTTAAAATGGAAGGATCGTTGAGTTTCTTTTTTTTTGACTTTTTATAACAAGAGATTACTTGAAATTAAAGAGTGGTTTATGAAAAGACCATTGGTTCACTGATTGTTCTATTCTACACATTCATGACACATCACTGGCAAAAATAGTGCAGCAATATGAATGAGAAAACTGCTACTCAGATAAGGTGAAAATTGAATTGCACCGCACGTGAGGAGCTAGCAGATGGATGCATCTGAAATGCACTATTGCAGTATCTTAGGCTTTCAGCCTGACTTAATTTGCATTACGTGTAAACAGGTATCGAGTGGAAGCATCTGAAAGGCAATGCTGCAGGACCGCAGGCCTGTATACTCACTTTAAGGTTGGTTAGCCACAATTTTCGTCTGGAAGTCATCGATGGTTAGTCATCATATATACAGTAGATTTCAAGTGTAGATGGATCCTAAATGTGCTGAAAGAGGTGGCTCGGTATGTTATAATCTTAATCTACAACTGTAGTTAGCTATTAACATAGTAATAAAATTCAGGAGCATGTTCAGAAAAAAGTGAGTTTTTTAGTGAAACAAGTCAAACAACATGCATACTGATTCAGATCTACAGTTTCAATTATGCAAGCAGCATATTCATGGTGCTAAAAGATTATTTATACCAAAAGCAAAATAATTTTGCAAACTCAAATTTTTTAAGTAGCCAAAAATTGCTTACCAAAGAAGCATATGATTTCAACATGGGCTTGGCCAGCTGCCAAATTGGCTGAAATATGAAAGGAGCATCAACGAAGAGGACTTCGCTTAGCCTCCTTGGATAGTAGTAGTAGAATACATCAAACTGCCCAAACCAGCAAATTCATTAGCAAATAAAACTGGTTCAAATGACAAAAGGTTTTGACTACAAATCAAAGGAGAAATGAAATTTAACAGAGCTGTTGTGAACATAGAAAAGCATTGGATGAATAAACTAATTTTGGATCATGAAAGCACCGACATAACACAAATAGTTAAATAACATAAACAAATGAGGGGAAAGAAAATATCAAGCAAAAAGAGAGAAAATATGGAACAAGAAATTGTCAAAATAATGGGCTAACTCCATGAACCTTTATGATCCTGAAAAATACAGAGCTTTGTCTATTGTTCAACCTCATTGTAACTCATGCAATATACAGAGCAACAGAAGTTCGGTTGAAATGATAGTCTTTGAAATTACCAAAAATGTAAGAAACCTGAGATCTGCATTTTCTGTACCAAAACCTCGAAGATCAATTATTACAAGTATCTGTTCTTTCCCAGCTGGAAGCTTACTAAGTGCCTTCTCAACTAGGAAAACACATAATTTTTCATCTTCACGGAAATCGTGCTTCTGCACCGAAACATTACAAACCTCAATTAGAAAAGGCAAGAAAATAGCAACAGATACACAAGAAAAAAAAATTTATTTGGCAATCAAATAGCAGAAAGTGGAAAATTATCTGTAAATCTACCATAACTCAAGAATACAAGCCAAGATTTGCATGAAAGCAGCAGTGTAACCCAATTAGGAAAAAAAAAAGATTTTGGAGAATCAAGTGATCCATTTTTAAGCAGAAAATAGTCCGTAAATTTTGCCAAAAGTTAAGAACACAGAAAACCCTAACATTAAAGCAAATCCAATGAGGAAATACAGAGTTTGGCGACTTGACGGATCCATCTTTAAGCTTTAGTGAATCTGGATGTGGTTTTATGTATGTAACGTCAACTTAACATACCATGTCCACCTCTCCCACCACTATTACAAAACTTAATTGAACAATGAGACTCCTCCCACTTGAAATTCAAAAATTACAAACCTAATACATCTAACTGACCAACACGAGTCAATTTTAATAGTTGATTGTATGTCCACTGAATGACGTTGTATAAGAAGACCTTTTGTGATATTAACTATTGAAGTGGATCAATGTTGGTCAATTAAGCAAAAGCTATCCAGCAGCAGAGAAGACTGCTTCATCCAAGTGATATTTTTCATTAGTACCATTCTGTGACTAGCTGATAATAAGTAGAGCACCTTATGCTTTTCTGCTTTTGATCAGGATCAACATAACTACAAGCACCGTCAGTGTCATATTTTCTGCACACTAGTGGGTCTGGCATAATCTCATGTTATTTCATACATGATTATTTGATAATCTAAACAGCACATGCAAAGAATTTTCGACTGAAGCAGTATCATCAAAACAATATCATGAACAACTAATTCTCTTGCTCTCTCTTTCTTATTTGCTTTCATAAAAACTGTTGTTTTACTCACAAGCAAAGACCGAGAGCAAATAATTGCAGGATATGATTTGCTTTTTCCATGAATAGCAGTTTGGCAGCATCAACTGTTTAATCATAAAAAATCAGATAAATGAAGCATTAGACTTACCCCAGGGAAATGCTTGGATGCTTCTACTATTTGTACTGGTCTGCTGTTGACATCAAGATAGTCATGCACATAGGCTTTCCCACTTTCAGCTGCTGATCTTACTGATTCTTCTGAAAGTTCTGATACGCCAAATTCATGATACCATCTCTGGTAAGGTAGAAGGAATATTTGAAGGACATAATTCAACAACCATATGATAGACATTCCATTTTAAAGAATAAAGCAAGAATCATCCCAAGATACTAAACATGGCCTCTCAACAATGAAGCATCTCATGCAACGTGTATCAGTAAAGCTATTCTCCATCTAGCATTCTATTTTTCAACAATTCAATTGCAGGGGTGTAAAATAGTTGAGCTCAAGAGGGAATGTCTATCATATGTTTTTCATTCATCTTACTCAAGTCAAGTAGGCTTGGGTTAACTCAAACTCAAGGCTCAATGTTCTGTCCAGTATACTTGAGTTGAGCTTTGAGTAAGCAAAAAAGTATTGACCTCAAGCTTGAGCTCGAGACTTCGGTCTCTGGTATTTTAGCTCAAGTTGAGCTCAGCAATCTTCGACTCAGTTGCAACCCTATTTAGAGCTTTCAAAGTACTTCTAACCTTCATTGTGTAATGAAAATTCACAGAGCAGAGTCAAAAACATAAGAACCACACCTAGTATAAAAATTATAAGCAGCATAGGGAATAGAGAATTACTATGGCTTTTGTCAATTTGGACACTGCCTCTTCAACAGAAAACCTTCTGTCCTTCAAAAACCAAAGAATCAGCTCTTCATCATCTTTTCCATTTTTTCCAGCTGGAAGACTGTTACATTCTTTTTCAAGCTTCTCTTTAACTTCCACCACTAACTACAGCATTTCAAGTTGACCAGAAGCATGAGATTCATTGAAACATTATTGTTGGAATTACACATTACAGAACGAAGTCAAGTTACTTAACCTTTAGAAACCAAGAAGATTCAAATTTTTTATTATCAAGTCGAACTTGCTCAAGAGTAATTAAACTGAAAATTAAAAGTTAACCGAACAAACAGATGCCAATAGCGGGAAATTTTTTTTTAACCCAATTCGCAATTTTAGCAGGAAAATTAAAACAAAAAAAAAAGGGCCAGCACCCAGAAGTACCCAAAAAATAATAAAAAAACATTGACTGGCCTTCAGTAATTCATAGCAGATAAAGAAAAGGACCCATCACCCGAAAAGTTCCAAAAAAGAAAAAAAAAATGGAAAAAATATGCATATAATTTTATATCCACAAGGGAAGTGAGTAGACCTTTTGGGCATCTTTTGGGGCCAGAGCACAGAGGCGAACGGCGAGAAGCTTACGAATTCCAATGGGTTTACCTGAAAAAAATGAGGAATTGAAATTCTTGAAATGTTTACCCAGTGGAGGCCGGAGTCCCAGTTGGAATGCCATTTGATGTATGGGTGATGCTAAACTTAAGCAGGGACTCCCTTCATTCCATACACAGCAGAGGGTTAACAAGATTAGGATACCGCTGGCATTCGAGTGTGTGAAGGAGCTGTTTTTCAGAAAGTTTCGTGTACGTTTGGTGTTTCGTTTTGGCCTGGTCTGCGTCACTCTCTTTACCGAACTGAACTGAACTCAACCAAGTGACCGTAAAATTTGTGGATTTGACTATTAATTTTAGGGTTAATTACATTTACCTCCCCTTGAGATTTAGCCAAACTACCCAATAGTCCTTGTAGTTTGGATAAATAACATATACCTCCCTTGGCAATAACTCAGCATCCTTCTGTTAGCGATGGTCAAATGGCTAAATTATCCTCCATACAAATGCTTTAATAAAAAAAAAATTAAATAAATAAAATACAGTTCTTGTGCAACGGAGAAATTTAATAAAAATAAGAAATCAGAAAAATCATCAGATAAAGGTAAATGAAGAAAGAAACAGTTGGACCTCGTTCATAATCTCCATCCTCTCCATTCTCAATTGCTATATTTTTTTCTACTACCATAAATGCCCCCACTACCATTTTCTTCCTTCCTGTCTCTTTCATGGTCCACTGATTTGGGTTTTTAAAACTTTCTATTTCCACCTTCATTGTATGCATCTTCTCCATTTGAAAGCTCATTAGAAAAAATTATCTATTGGATTTGCTACAGATTTGAATCTAATGGCTAAAAAACTTGTTCATGCTCATACTCTAGATTGTATTATCTATGATATTTGTGGTTGACTTCCTCTATTTATTTTAACAGTTGGGGTGGATCTAAAATTGGAGTATGTTCTTGATACGCATTGTGTATTTATCGGATTGATGAACTTTAGATGGAAAGTTCATAGGACTGTGGTAGTTTGAAAAGCTTTCTTTTGTCTTAGAAAACAAAAGGATGAATAATACAAAAACAAACTAAAAAGAAAGAAAGGAAACTGGATTGCATGCTAGAAGACTAGTTCTTGGATGTCATTTCATCAATTTTGGTAGTGGTTGACAGTGTCTCGGATGGCACCGTCCCTTTGCCCCTGCCATTTCTACGACTTTAAAGTTTTGATTTTTTTTTGACAAATAATATGAAGAGGAAGAAGACAAAAAAAAAAAAAGAAAAAGAAAAGAAAAGACAAGAAAGGGGTAACTTTAAAGGATGGGTAATTTGGGGCATTCACTTAATATGTTTTGCTGGGATAATAAAAATAAGCACTGCTAACTGATGGAAAGGGGTGTTTGTTATAGAATTATGAGTTTAAAGGTTCATTTTGTTATTTGTTCAAATCATGAGGAGTTATTTGTAGTTTGGCCAAACCTCAAGGGAGGTAGATGTAATTAACCCTAATTTTTATACATTTGCGAGTTTGAATTCATGATAAATATGCATGCTACATGAAGGGAGAGCAACATTGTATCCCTATCCGTATCCTTGCACGTTTTAGAACAAATGATATTTGAATTTCAACCGTATAGGTGGCGGCATTTTAAAAAATCTGAGATTATGTAGAGTGAAATTATAGCGTTGGGTACTATTTAATGTAGCATGTGTTTTGCTGTACTTATGGGAGTGACCTTGTATTTTTCAAGATGGAGTGGTGTTTTTGTTGAAAGTTTGGTTTTTTAGAAATATGAAATTACTTAGTCATCTTGTGTGTAGTGGGTACATCCTCTACTAGTTTATGTGTCGATGGAATTACTTGAATGTCCTTTAGAAGACATTGATTAGTAGTACAAGAGTCAATTATTACATACAAGAAACATAAAGTCATCTTTGAGGGACATCCAGCTGCCCCTTTTTTTTTTTTTTTTTTTTTTTTATCTCAATTAGAGTGAGGAGACGTGGTCAAGGAAAGAAATTTATGTCTAAGCTTCTCTCACCTTCACCGCTTCAAATGTCCTCTGCTTCAAATTCTTTCGTTTTGTTCTATTTGCCTTCTGTTCAATGATTATTTGTATTGCTATTGTCCCCTGAGTTTGAGAATGATTCTTTGACATAGCTATTCTTGGTGGTTCAGTTTGAAGTGAGTTTTCTATTTTTTTTTTTTTTAAATTTTGATACCGTGATTTGCTTTGTCTCATCCTGGATTTGGTTTGCTTTTTGTGAGAAAGTAAATTCCAGGTGATATTGGATTCAAATTATTGCTATGTTGAATGTTTAATTAGTAAGATTTGTTAGTGGAAAGAGTCCCTACTCTTTTTTAGGAGAATTGGCGAGCTAAAGAGTCCCTACTCTAAATGACAGTTGAAAAACAAATGTTCTGTAGACTCATTTCTAGAGTCACACAGCACACATAATGGAGACGTATGAACAACACTCTTACGTGCAAAGTCTATCTTTAGTCATCAATCGTTCCTTTTTAGCCAACCAAAGTATAAAAGCAAACTTTGGAACATGCCTTTTGCCCCATACCAGATTTAACCACTTCACTGTATTCCAAGAATAGAACAATTTCTTCACTGTATTTTTGCAATGCCAAAACACAAAACTTTGCTATCTTTAATTAAGGAAAATATTTAGATGCATAAAAAATGGTTAATTTCTCATTTTTGAGATTTAAGCATTGGCCCTGTAAAATTATTTTAGCTGTCTTAATTAGAAATTCTTTTTTATTAATTATTATGTGAAAATGAAGATTAGATAGTTAAAAAAAAACTATATTGCACCACTAGAAAAACTTTCTTTTTTTTTGTTCCCTTTCCCGCTTATTAAAATCTAGCATTCTAATAATGAAGTTGTAAAATATTCATTTTATTATTTGTATATCTTGATAGTTTTATTGAATGATTCAATAATTTTACAAAATACCAACTTCATCTCAAACTTAATTGATAACTAATTGAAGTAGGAACAAGAAATAACGATTAGCCTAATTTACATATGGTATACATACCCTATATTTTAATGGGTTACTTAGTTAATTGAGTTTAATTATCAATACAAGTAAAAGAAAAATTTTAGAACACATCATGAATTAAATTATTCATAATGCAAAGCAATAAATGCACATATTATCCCAAATTTGAGACCAGCTATGTAAAACAAAGTAAGTCTAAGATAATGGGATGAATAAATAAAATAAATATAAAAAAGAACAAAAAGAATTTTAATTTGCTTTTGCATGTTTTTTAGCGCAATTTTGATCTAGTTTGTATCTTATTTCATCCTGAAATGCTCAATATCACTATTCAAAAATTAAAGGACCATAATGAGCTAAATTCGAAACATTAGGGACAAAAAATGCAAATTCAATTCTGTCAACTAATGGCCATTTGATATTGATTGCTTTTTTTTTTTTATAATGATTTTGATTGTTAATCACTATTGAATTTCTATCGTCCTGGATATAACCAAAATTATAAACAAAACTAGAAACTTTGGAGATCAAATTTATTTTAGGTGAAACATTAGGGACCAGTTTGACATATAGACCAAATATTGGGGACTAAAATTACAATTCTTCCAATTTAGCAATAGGCCCGTCATGCAACTTACTCTTTTGACCAGAGGATGACTTAATCATTCACAACGATCTTCCAAAGAATTTAACAAGACTTTTGCCATATATTTCAACTTGTGCTGCTGATGAAATGAGAATCCCAGTTCTGCCATTTCAACATGTTATTTAACAATTTTTCAAGAACTGATTAACAAGATTTCTATGATGTTATTGAACTTCTTTTTTTTTTTTTTCCTGCAGGCGGCAACATCTCCAGGCCTATACTGTAGTTTCTGAAACTCTTGAACCATTTCAAGTTAAGGAGCACATCCCCAATTATGGATGCTAAAATAATGAGATTCCTAAGATTTAGTGTAGGCAAGTAGTTCATATGGTAAAGTTTGCTTTCAGGACTTGTGTGTTTGTAAAGTAGGTACTAGGAAAGAATATGAACATGAATCCAAGTATGCATTAAGATGCTTAAGTTTTCTGCAGGCATATCACTTTGTACAATATTAATATATCCTAAAATGGGGAAGAAAACAAAAGCTCATGTCGGAGATATATTTTGGCATTTTGGAATCTGAGGTGCACACAAATTTGTCGGAGATACGATAAAGCAAACATTAAACAATCCCAAGGTGGAGATCCTACGGAACTAAACAATTCCCCAGTCGCCCATATAATCCCATACAAGGATTTTCAGACCAGAAACTGCATCAGTAAAGTAATTGATTTTGTCTAGACACGATATGTATCCTCTGGTTACTGATAGATGCGGCATGTTAAGCGATTGCTTTGTCCGGCATTATGTAATGGCTTTTTTGGGTATAACTTGTATGTCCAGCAGTGGATATCAGTACCTTGAGCCATAGTTTCCATCAGTTCTTAAAATTTCAGCTGAGAACACAGTACTCCTATACTTTTTTATTAAGAAAGGAGGGGAGAGATTTGAGGTTATAAATTTGTGATCATTTCAGGAATTTCTCCCAGGCCAAATTTTGTTTTTTACCACAAGACTGGGAAGATATGGATTCCTGAGTAGTAACAACCAGTTATTTATCGCAAATCTCATGTTATTCTGAAGAAGAGAAGGAAAGCCAATTTCCTTCTCTAACATCAGTAGGACTTCTGAAGCCATGTGGTACAAAGTTGAACGTTTGAGGAATCCGCAAAAGCTTCTTGAGGAGAGCCCTGATACCCCAAATAATTCTTGTTGCTCTCAAGCCTTGCTAACTGATAAGATTATGAAATTAGCGAAAGCACAGCTGGTTCAATTAAACTCCAAGAAGGCAGATGTTCTCTCCAGTGGAAAAGGTTGCTTTAAAGGCCAATGCGGCGTATCTTCCAAAGTTGCTCAAGACTTGGAACTTGCACTGTTAGTTCAAGCTGCAGCTGAGAAAGTTGAAGATGAACAGTTAGTTTATGCCAGAAAATTGCTGAATATATGCGATGTCTTAGCTTCTAAAACTTGTAATTTTGTTCAAAAGGTTGTATTGTATACTACTTTGCTAAAGCTCTTAACGAGAAGATTGATCAAGCGTTGGGGATAATTTCATCAGACAAACTTAAAGGTCAAGAATGGTTGCCAATGGCTGAGGAGCTGGATAAGAATTTTCTAGAACCTGTGATCATGTCATGTCAATAGGAAGTCCCATTCTGTCTGGAAACACAATTCATATCAAGTCAATCCATACTGGAAGCTGTGACAGCAGCTAAGAAAGTTCATTTAATGGATTTTGAAATTGATAATGGTTCACAGTGGACACTGATTATGGAAGCTCTTGCTGTCAGTCATGAATGCCCTGTTGAACATCTCAAGATTACTGACGTTGGAACCTGTGAAGCAACCATGGAAAAGATGGGCAAACGTTTGTCATCTTCTGCTCAAACCATTAACTTACCTTTCTCATTTTAGATAGTTGTGTCAGACCTCAAGGATCTCAAGGAAGAATTCTATAATTCAGTGGCTGATGAAGCTGTGGCAATTGATTTGGCATACCGGCTTTGGTCATTGTTAGCATGGCCTAATCATTTAGAAGCCTTGATGGCAGTGATCAAGAATCTCAAGCCAAGTTTTCTGGTGCTCAAGGAAGTGGAGGTCTATGCAAAGGCACTAACTTTCCTGGAACGTTTCAATGAAAAGCTCCTCTTTATCAGCGGGCTAATTGATTCCACAAATTCTTGTATGGAAAAACACATACTGTATAGAAAACTGGTAGAAGAAGTTCACTGGTAGGGGATGATTCGTAATGTTCTCACAGCTGAACGTACAGAGAGGACTCTGAGACAAGAAAGAATAGGTTTCTAGAGATTCCTTTTCAAAAAGTTCGATTTTGCAGAATCAGATCTCAGCCAAACATCAATATTGCAAGCAAATTTGTCACTTAAATGATCTGATCAGTGTTAAGGCCTGGTACTTCTGTTTGTTAGTGAAATAATAAAAATAGGCTGATACACTATAGAGAAGAGTAAATACAACCTAGAAAGAAAGAAATGATCGAAAATAACAATAATAACAATCCGAGACTTGTGAGTACAATTTCCTTAAAACAGGTTTGCTCCCTCCAGGTAGAGTGCTCGAGGTTAAGTAGGCGTCTGTCTCCCAGGATACAACGGATTAAAGGTGAATATGTCAGCACCAAACTTTCTTCACCACAGTGAACTCGAACTAGAGTAATATGGAACACTATAAAAGATGAAGATGCAAGAAGGAAAAATAGAGAGAGCGCGCTTACTTTTGAAACAAAAAGAGATATTTATAGATGCTGGTCAAGGGTGACTGTTAGAAATTGGCAACAAGTGTTAAATTTCAGATAATTATCTTTGCGTTTATCAAAGCATCACATTCATGTTCATACATGTATCTCAATAAGATAACTCCAAAATCATGTATTAAGTACATGAATCCTATCCAAAATATGTATCAATAATTAATATACATGAATCCTATGTACATGAATGAATGATAGATAATTATCCTGAATTCTTTCAAGAGTGCCATTATGAGAACAATTTTCTCATTCACTCTACAATGGATATAGCCATTTTTCCAACAGGATATAGCCATTTTTCCAATAATCCCCCACATGAATGAAAAATTGTTTTTTATTTGACTCTACAGTAGTGTTCCACGACTGAAACCTGCATAAGATAGGTTGGTGTTACCCATTGAACCTTCTCTTGTGAAATACACTTACTTTACTAGCAATCCAGTAGACATGATGTCTTTGAACTGTCCCGTTTTTTAGTGTAAATGAACCATATATTTCACACAGGAATCATGCTCCATTTGTTCAGTTCTCATAGTTATGTTCGTTTTGGCTATGAACATCAACCTGGTTCAGCAAGAGTTTTTAAGAATTGAGCCCTAAACAATTCTCTTTTGAAGCGGCCCCACTTCACTCTCACATAGGTGATTTACTTAAGTCTTCAGTAATAAATTACTTCACTTAAGAATCATTAAAGCAAACCATTGTGCTATCCTTAATTCTCCTTTGCGTCATTGTTTCATTATGGAATGGGTCTAGGGATAACCTCCCACAATGATTATGCTAAGTCCTTATAATTAGGTTGTCCCTTTGAATCTAGATCTTGGGATCTCCAGTCAGCTAGGTTGGGTTTCCTTTATAACACTTAGCCTTTTATGGGCTTTAGTCCCATTCCCTTTGCCATTTTTGCAACCAACTCTCTATTCAATCCTTTGGTTAGCTGATCCGCTATGTTATCTTTTAATTTCACATAATCAATAGAGATAACTCCTGTTGAGAGTAGTTGTCTAATGGTATTATGTCTACGACGTATATGTCTAAACTTATCATTATATATGTTATTCTGTGCTCTTCCAATTGCTGATTGACTATCACAGTGAATACATATTGGTGGCACAGATTTTTTCCAATTTGGAATGTCTTCAAGGAAATGGTGGAGCCATTCAGCTTCTTCTCCACATTTGTCTAAGGCAATGAACTCAGATTCCATTGTAGATCTAGCTACAATAGTTTGTTTAGAAGACTTCCAGGATACTGCCCCACCAGCAAGTGTGAACACATACCCACTTGTGGACTTTGAATCTTTTATATCAGATATCCATTTTGCATCAGCATACTCTTCTAAAACAACAGGGCATCTAGTGTAATGCAGTCCATAGTTCCGAGTGTACCGTAGGTATTTAAGTAGCCTTAAAATTGCTTTCCAATGATCAGCACTCGGATTGCTTGTAAACCTGCTCAATTTGCTTACTGCATATGCAATGTCAGGTCTAGTACAACTCATTAAATACATTAGACTTCCAATGATTCGTGAGTATTCTACTTGAGAAATACTCTCTCCTCTATTCTTAGATAGATGGAAACTATTGTCTAATGGAGTTCTTGCAATTTCAGAATCATTCTTATTGAATTTTTCTAGAATCTTGTCCACATAATGAGTTTGGCTCAAGACCAAGCCGTCTGGTATTCTTGTAATTTTAACTCCTAAAATTACATCAGCAAACCTCATATCTTTCATGTCAAATTTTGAATTCAACATGTCCTTGGTAGACTTGACCATTTTGTCATTACTACCAACAATAAGTATGTCATCTACATAAAGACATAAGATGACATAGCCAAGTTCTGTTTTTTTAGTGTAGACACATTTGTCACACTCATTTATTTTGTATCCATTAGTTATCATTGCATTGTCGAACTTTTCATGCCATTTCTTTGGCGCTTGTTTTAGTCCATACAATGATTTTACTAATTTACAAACTTTATTTCCTGTTCGCGGAGTTATGAAACTCTCAGGTTGCTCCATGTAGATTTCTTCATCTAAATCACCATTTAAAAAAGCCGTTTTTACATCCATTTGATGTATCTCTAGATTTCTCAATGCAGCGATAGCAAGAATAATTCTGATAGAATTTATTCTCGTAACAGGAGAATAAGTATCAAAATAATCCAAACCTTCTTGTTGCTTGTATCCTTTGATTACAAGTCTGGCTTTGTACTTATCGACAGAGCCATCAGGTTTCATTTTCCTTTTAAAGATCCATTTGGACCGTAAAGGTCTACAACCAGGAGGAAGATCCACTAACTCCCATGTATGATTCTGTAAAATAGAATCAACCTCACTTTTTATTGCTTTTTTCCACAAAAATCCTTCAGAAGAACTTACAGCTTCTGTATAGGTTTGTGGTTCCTTTTCTAATAGAAAAGTTGTGAAATAATCTCCAAATGATTTTTTCACTCTAGCCCTTTTGCTACGTCTCGGTTCATCTTGTTGAATCAAGTCATGATCATGTTTTCCTTGTTTCATAACTCCATGTGTTCGTTTTGATGAATTTGATGCACCATTCGATTTACAAGAAAACACATCTTCAAAGAATGAAGCATTCTTTGATTCCATTATCGTATTTTTGTGTATATCCGAAATTTCTGAATTATACACAAGAAATCGATAGGCAGCACTATTATGTGCATAGCCTATAAAGATACAGTCCATAGTTCTAGGACCTATCTTTATTCTCTTTGATGTTGGAATAGCCACTTTTGCAAAACACCCTCACACTTTCGAGTATTTGTAGGATGGTCTCCTACCTTTCCATAACTCATAAGGAGTTTTATCTTATTTTTTCCGGGGTACTCTATTTAAAAGGTAATTGCTTGACAAAATAGCTTCACCCCACATATTTTGAGGCAATTCTGAACTTAGTAACATCACATTCATCATTTCCTTTAGTGTGCGATTTTTCCGTTCAGCAACACCATTCGATTGTGGTGAGTAAGGTACAGTTACTTCATGAACAATTTCATATTTTGCACAATAATCACCAATAGGTGTTTCATACTCACCACCTCTATCAATTCTTAACCTTTTAATTCTCTGGTTAAGTTGATTTTCAACTTCATTCTTGTAGAGAATGAATTTTTTCAAGACTTCATCTTTACTTTTGAGCAAATACACATAATAGTATTTTGTGCAATCATCAATGAAAGTGATAAAATATTTATTACCACCTCTTGTTTGAACAAATTTCAAATCACAGACATCTGTGTGAATCAATTCAAGGGGTTCGGTGTTTCTTTCAATTGTTTGAAAAGATGACCTTGTTAATTTTGCTTCTACGCAAATCTCGCATTTATGGTTTGAATTGATGTGAAAGGAAGGAATATGATCCAAGTTAATTAGTCTACACAAAGTATCATAATTAACATGACCTAGTTTACCATGCCATAAATTGGAAGACTCAAGCAAATAAGCAGAAGACTTATTCTTATTATTCACAATAGTCATTACATTCAATTTGAACAACCAATCGGTTGTATATCCTTTCCCTACATACATCCCAAATTTGATAATAGAACTTTATCCGATTCAAAAATCATGCGAAAGCCATGTTTGTTCAGCAATGATCCAGAAACAAGGTTCTTGCGGATTTCTGGCACATACAGAACATCGTTCATAGTCAATGTTTTGCCAGAAGTCATCTTTAGCAACACCTTTCCTTGACCTTCAGTAGCAGATGAGGCAGAGTTCCCCATGAACATTTTTTCACCTTCAATTTTTTCGAAGGTAGTGAACAGGTCTTTGTTTGTGCAAACATGTCTTGTAGCTCCAGTGTCAATCCACCATTCTTTCGGATTTGACCCTATCATATTTACTTCAGAGACCATAGCAGTCAGGCTCATGTTTTCCATGTCTCCCTCGATTCTATCAACCAAGTTTGCTTCATGCTTCTTCTTCTTTGGAAGCTTACATTCAGTGGACTTGTGACCTTTTTTGTCACAGTTGAAGCACTTCCCTTGGAATTTCTACTTAGAGATTTTCCCTTTTGCCCCAAGATTTCGAGTTGGCTTTTTACCTTTGGAGTTTTGCCCTTGCTTATACTCCACAATATTTGCTTTAGCATCAACAGAAGTTGTTGCCTTGCAATCAGAATCCCTGTTGTCTTCTTCAATTCGAAGTCTAACGATAAGGTCTTTCATACTCATTTCTTTGCGCTTGTGCTTGAGATAGTTCTTGAAATCCTTCCACCCAGAAGGTAGCTTCTCAATAACAGCAGCTACTTGAAAGGTTTCACTCAAAATCATGCCTTCAACTAGAATCTCATACAAGATAATCTGAATTTCTTGCACTTGACTGATAACAGTTTTGGAATCCACCATTTTATATTCTAGAAATTTTCCAACGACAAATTTTTTTGCCCCGACATCTTCAGTTTTATATTTCCAATCTAAGGATTCCCATAATGCCTTCGTCGTCTTGTGTATTTGATACACGTTATACAGCGAGTCATGCAAGCAGTTCATGACATAATTTCGACAAAGGAAATCGGAGTGCTTCCAAGCATTAATAGCACTGACAGCTTGTGCATCAGTTAAGCCTTCAGGCAGCTTTGGAGCATCCTCACTTAAGAATCTCGAGAGATTCAATGTTGTCAAATAGAACAACATCTTTTGTTGCTATGTCTTGAAGTTCGAGCCATGGAACTTCTCAGGTTTCTCACTATGGTTGGTAGAAATCATAGGAGTAATCTTTTCTTCAGGTTGTTTCACAATTGTGCCAGAGGCAGAGGCATCAAAAGTAGATGTGTTGGTTTCTCTTCCTGTATTGTCAGCCATTGAGAATCGAATCTGTTTTAAGACTGTTAGTGAAATAATAAAAATATGCTGATACACTATAGAGAAGAGTAAATACAACCTAGAAAGAGAGAAATGATCGAAAATAACAATAATAACAATCCGAGACTTGTGAGTACAATTTTCTTAAAACAGATTTGCCCCCTCCAGGTAGAGTGCTCGAGGTTAAGTAGGCATCTGTCTCCCAGGATACAACGGATTAAAGGTGAATATGTCAGCACCAAACTTTCTTCACCACAGCGAACTCGAACTAGGGTAATATGGAACACTATAAAAGATGAAGATGCAAGAAGGAAAAATAGAGAGAGCGCGCTTGCTTTTGAAACAAAAAGAGATATTTATAGATGCTGGCCAAGGGTGACTGTTAGAAATTGGTAACAAGTGTTAAATTTTAGATAATTATCTTCGCGTTTATCAAAGCACCACATTCATGTTCATACATGTATCTCAATAAGATAACTCCAAAATCATGTATTAAGTACATGAATCCTATCTAAAATCATGTATCAATAATTAATATACATGAATCCTATGTACATGAATGAATGATAGATAATTATCCAGGATTTTTTCAAGAGTGTCATTATGAGAACAATTTTCTCATTCACTCTACAATGGATATAGTCATTTTTCCAACAGGATATAGCCATTTTTCCAACACTGTTATGGATGGGAAATCTTTGATCTTCGGATAAAATGAAGCCTCATTTCAATCTGTTTCTGCGTGGGAGTTCCCCTCTGATTAAGAGTTGTTGGAGCCGTGAAGTATTACTAATCTTTGCTAGCTGATTGTGGGTTCTCAGGAACTTACGTCTGTAATTTTCTTGCCATGTTTTCTCTTTTTCGCAGTCAGAAAACTAAAAGCTTTTTTGCCTGAACCTCGGATCAAACCAACTGGAACTCTACTCAAGCTTGGTTGATTACCAGCTGATACGTATATGTAGTGACTTGGTAAACCAATCAAACGAACTAATCTAGAGTTTCTAAATAGATCACAAGATCAATTCATCAACCTCAAATTCTAGCTTGGGAGGCATTCTAATTTATAATTAGACAATGCCAAGTTGAACTAAAATTATTTTATAGAAAGCATATTATTTCTGATTCAAGTTTGGGAAATGCTGTATTGATATCTGAAGTTGCATAAAGTTTGATGAAGTTTGAGTTAGACATGATTGGCTAACTTTAATGGCAAAGCCTAAATATCAAGCAAATATGATTGTTGTTCTAGTTACAAATATTGTGAAATATGGACGAAGATGCACCAGGTTGAGTTACAACGGAAACATGTAAATAATAATAAAAAGCACTGCTTTGGATCCTTATGAGGTTGCAAAAAATGGAGTCTTTGTGGATTTGGAGTCACATTTCTGCGTGGTTATGAATTCTTCAATGTCTGTATCCTCAGATCAACTATTCTGTAGGAGTTTGGAAACTCATCTATCGTCAAGTTAGGCAACTTCAATTCGGCAATTTCAGAAAATTGGAGAGGTGATTTGTAATTGTAAATAAAGACAAGTATATGCCAATAATTCTACTTCATCAGTATATGTTTTTTAATTCATTGTTTCTCGTAAAAGAAAGTAGATGATCCTTTTTGAGTTGAGGATAGAAAAGAAAAGAAGAGAAATGTTAAGTTACGAGAGAAAAGAAAGGATAAGAAAAGAAAAGAAGAGATTTTAATGTTGTTTGAGAGTTTATGAAATAAAGGAGGTGATTTTGGACACATAAGTAAATAAATATTTCATTCAACAGCTTTTTAGGGGTAGAATGGACAATTTAAAAAATGTTTTGCTGCCTTTCCGCGCTTTCCTTTGCTTTCTGCCCGATTTGGGCTAGAAATTTTTTTTTTAAACTGTAGCTATTTCTTCCTTCTTCCAATTCCGTCGGTTTCTTTTCCTTTCCTTTCACTTAAAACTTTCAAATGAGGGAGATACAGCCTTTCTCTTCTATTCCTTTCTTTTATGCTCAAATCTCATCTCCCAAACTAGCTGTAAGTGTTGGTAGTTTCTGTCCATACATCTCATTTTTGCAAAATTTTGTGTATTTATTTAATTCAAAACTTATGCTAATCCAACGGTTCATAACTAGAATTGAACCTTATAATTCTTTTATATATTGTAGCAAATATTATTTATTGATTATCCTTTGGATTTATCGATAAGCCTTTTCAAGTTTCATAAATTATTTTTTTTTGAAAGACGTTTCATAAATTATTTAGACATGGCAATTTGTTTGGTATCTAAATAGCACCAATCTTTTCAACAATAGAAATGTACGGACTATATTAGAGCAATAAAATTTTAGGGGTCAAATTGATATTAACAAAATAGATTGAGGACTAATTAGTCAACACAATTTTTTTCACATAAACTGACAGATGTCTCAATTGATATCCCCAAAGGAGTGTTCTCCTGCTTCCCCCTTCAGTCTTCACTCTTCAGCCCATCGAGTAGAGAAAGAGAGACAGATGGAGAAGCCAAAATTGTTCCTTTCTTACATAATCCTGGCAGTAATGATGGTGGATTTATGTTTGATAGCTCAAAGCAGGGAAATTGAATCACCGCAGTACACGGTTGTGCACTCAGAATCAGATTTTGAGGTGAGATTTTACAGGGACTCTGTTTGGATGAGTGCACCTGCCAAAGAAACCTCCTTTCGGAAAGCCACAAAAGATGGTTTTCACAGGTACCCTTTTCTTTTTTCCTTTTTATGTGATCTTTTTAGATTTATTTTGCCACCATTTTCTAGTTTCCTCGATTCTTTTTAAATTTGTGCTGCAGTTACAGTTGACTTTGAGACAGTGAGACCTTTCCAATCTTTTCAATCTTTTAACTATCATCCCAAGGGTAAAAGGGAAAGTAGAGAGGAAAAGCTGATGCTTTGTGTTACTGTTTGCAATTACTCTGCCCTTGCCTGATTGTTCTTTTTCCAACGGTTTAATCTATACTGTATATGTAGCATTTCTGGATATTAGTTATTTATTTTGTCGTTGATGATTGTGTGCTTAATTGATCAAACTGGTTATTTACATTGGAGTCTTGACACGTATGGTTGTGGTAATTTAGAGTTGATACTGGTTGTATTATGCTTGCAAGACATTACTGGACTTCATGAAGAACATTCTGCTATTCTTTAACTCTGCTGGTTACTAAAGTACGCTAAAATAAGTCCTCTAACATGAGAATGAACGAGTAATTTTTGTTATTTTGATTCACTGGATATTTTGTCCCTAAATATTCATAAAAACCGTAAGCTACATGAGAAATTTCTCCAACAGAAAAGGCCTGGATGCAGAATAGCTGCTTCTTTAGAGGAGTCTAATAATGGGATTTTCGTCATAAGAAAGAAACTTTTAGTCTAGTAGGCGTGCAGTGACAGATTAAACCATCCCAGTTCTACTGTATCAGGTGCAAGCTGATATGAAGTAAAGAAAACTGCAATAGCGGCTACCCTTGCTGATTGTGCAGACAGAATTGGTCTTGCTAGAATTAACTGATATTATTCTTTCTCTCAACACATTATCTGTTCTTGTTGCGTCACAGGTTATTTCAGTATATTCAAGGGGCAAACTTGAACTTCTCTAGGATCTACATGACTGCACCTGTCTTGACAAGCATTGTTCCGGGAGCTGGACCTCTTCATGCATCAGCATACTTCGTGAAACTCTATCTACCTCTCAAGTTTCAAGCCAGCCCACCACTTCCACTTCCTGAGCTCAATCTTGCACCTGATTCCTGGAGCAGTCACTGTATCGCTGTAAGGCAGTTCTCAGGATTCGCCAGGGACAGCAACATTGTCAAAGAAGCCGAGAAATTAGCCATCAGTTTGAGCAGATCTCAGTGGGCAAATTCAACTTCCCACAGCGAATATGCTTACTCAATTGCCCAGTACAACAGTCCTTTCCGAATTATTGGACGTAAGAATGAGGTTTGGGTTGATGTTGCTGGATCTGAAGCAAATGGGTGCAAGTCAAGCCTGCTGGCTTCATACTGACTGCTAAAGAATTCGGATCAAGCATAACCCTGCATGTTTGTATTTAAGATCTGAGACAAGCTGCTGGAACATTTGCCATGTACATACACAATCCACACCCCAAGAGATTTCTCACATAATGTTATCCTTGGCTAAAGAAATGGTATCGTACTTATTGGTACTCAATTTTATCCTGATGAGCTTAAACGCATGGGAAGCTCTAATCGAAAATGAGTGCATGCCTTAGTGATGATTACTCGACTCTTCCTTTGTGTGGCTTGTGAATTTCCAGCCTTGCACCTGCAGAAATAACCTTAACCTTTTAACTTGATCTGACAAGTCACAATTAGAATATCTGTCCTTGATACTTCGGAAGATTCCAGGATTTTTTTTATCAAAATAATACTAGAGAAAGGTAATCCTGGACAAATTGCCAAAACGTAATCATAAATAATAATTGGGGATACTATTAAACTCAATTTTAATTCATAATAGCTCAAGCATGGAGAGAGCGTCCTCTCAAATTTATGGAGAAGCACATTACTACTAGCTTTTGAAGCAACCTTTTGACGTGGTATTTTCATCAACTACAGGAATGAATGAATCAATCTTATACAAACTTATACAAGACCAGAAACGACTGTATTTTTATGTTTTGCTCATGAGAAAGGCGGCGGCCAAAAATGATTCACAGAAATATAAGTATAGAACTTAGGCTGGCTGTCTTTTGGGGCCTAAGTAAGATGGCAAACATCCCCTAGTGGAGGAAGTTCCCCTGTTAGGCATAGGCAGTTTAATGTGACTATAATGAACAATTAAAAGAAGAAATGAAAGTAATG